ATTTAATTTATTTAAATGATATTTGTTTTTAGTTATTTAATTGGAATTACTTGTTAGTGTTTTAATTATTTAATTGGCATTAATGGTTTAAGTGTAATTGGGTTAATTAAATAGTTTTAATTTTATTATATATTTTTGTTATTTTAATTACTTAAATTAATTAGTTGGGCCGACTATAATTGTAGCTAGACCTATAGTTATGCATGGATTAGGGTTCAATGTCAAAGCCTATAAATATGCATAATACGATGGGTTAGGGTTTAAAACAAAATAAAACAAAACGTAAGTTATTCTGTGGAGGCAAAGTGAGAGCAAACAGAGAGTTCGCCGGAGGATTTTAAAAAGACGTCGGTGTAAGGCAAGTTCTAATCCTATCTCTATCTTTTAGGCTCGTGTTCTTTACATTCCTAATGCAACTCCAGGATTTAATCAAGTTTAAAATCAAAATTTAATATATGTTTGGATGCTTCAAAAAAAAAAAAAAAAACTGAACGTGTTTGTATGTTTTGAATTATTTGTTGTATATTGTTTCTTCCACATGTCTTCATTTAGTTCTTGTCTGTCGATGTATAAGGGATTAGATTTATCTGAAACACCTTGTAATAACATTAAAATTAATTTGTTTGTAAGCTTGGACTGTCTGAAGCAGTAAGTAAATTTGAATGCTAAAGTAATCGGTTGCAGTTCTTGGTATACAATACTTGATTAGTTTGATGTGGGTAGTTGTATAACGAATTAGGTTGCCTCTTGAACATGCTGGAACTTGGTTTAAATACCTAGACACCCTAGGAGTGGAGGACAGGCCATCGGAGAACCGCCGGAGGTGGAAGAGACGAGGAATAGAGGAGAGCCAAAAGGGGAGAAGGCTCCCCAGAAGAAAGAGCAGGCTCCCTCTTAGAGGGAGCCGGCTCTAGAAGGCAAGGAGGCGGCTCCCCATGGTGGGGAGCCGGCTCCAAGAAAGAAAGAGCAGGCTCCCTCTTTGAGGGAGCAGGCTCTTTCCAGTTTTTCCATTTTTTTGAGTTTTGGGCAACCGTTTGGGTTACGAGACTTGGATTTTGGTAATTTCAGATTCTGTTGGAGGCTGTAATGGAGTGTTTAGTGATGTTCTAAAAGCTTATAAAAACTTCAGGGAACAAACTAAAACAAATTAAACAAGTTGAGGTTCATTCTTGAATAATGGGTAAAGTTTAACTAAACTAGATTACAGTTTTCGGATGTAAAAGATGTTAAATTGCTAAGTCTTTATATGGCAATTCTTGAGAATTGAATACAGATATTATGGTTCAGAAATTCTATATAAGCATGCAAGGTTACAAATATTTAATTTTGCTTGTTGTGGATAGATTGACAGTTGCATACATTAGATGTGTTGTCAATTATGAGAGGTTGTTAGAGTAGACTTAAATCAGTATGTTTTTATATATATATTCTGCTCTAGCATGTTTTGTGGGGATAATTGATGTTTGCATGTATATGATAAATTATCAGATATTGGATCTTGGAAAGTAGTAGTTATAAGCCTGTTAAGTTATAGAATTTTAACATGCTTATTATGGAATCATTGGTGCTTATACTTGATGTATTATTATCAATTAGTGGACCTTGCAGAGTAGAATGGATTAAACTTGTTAATTGACAATTATTTTATCATGCTTAATATGGAACAATTGATATTTGTACTTAGTGTTTTATTGTCAATTGTGGAATGTATGGATTGGTTGATAGTTATATTTTTATTTATTCTATTAACTGCCGAATGGATTGGATTGTATGCACCAGTATGGGATGGTGACATACTAGGTTTGGAGGTGGCTCAAAATTGCTATATCCTACCTATACGGAATAAGGGAATGGATTAAAAATAAATCCTACTTATATTTAGGCTAAGTCAAAGAAGCTGCACAAGCTGAATGACTAGCTGGATTACTGGTTATCTATGTTAAGTCTATACAGTTGAATAAGCTGAACGACTTACTAGATTTATTATGGATTGTTATGAACGGATTTTAAATATATGTTTATGGTACCACGAAAGGAGCTTGAGTCTCAGACTCGTTGGTTAGGGTGCGTATATGCAGTGGATGCGTAGCTGGCTATAGTAGATTGAGGTGTACCCTGTTAGGTCTAGGTACTCATGCTCACCTTTGGGTGCGTTTTCCCATGTTGCCTTCTATTCAAGTTGAGACCCCTACTGTAGTTCAGTGAATGTCCCTTAGTATGGATATATATATATATATACACGACTTATATAGTTATTGTTGAGTTGGTTAGAGTGTATATGCGTATCGAGTCTCTGCTTGGATTGTAGTAGGTTAGAACTTGTTCGTGGGCCTGACCCACTCCTATTTTCCAAGTGTACGTCAGTTCCAGGCTTAAGCTTGTTCGTGCTGGGCAGAGAAGATCTTCCATTCTACCGACGATGTAGGACTTCTTTCCAGATATTTGATTTGGATTTTATCTTCAGTTTACTTTCATTCAGTTTGGTTTTAGGGGTCCACTGGAGATGGATTCCCGAGTTGTTTACTTATGGAGGTTTTGGATTATTAGGATTTAAGTATATTTAATATTAAAGGTTTTTTTTTATATATATTTAGTTTTCTTCCAGCTTAAACTTTATTTATCAAATTCATTTTGTTATCTGTGTTCGTATTACATATTAATTGTTTGATATTTCCCTCGGGTTTGGGCTTGAGCCTGATCAACCCGTGTCTCGGATCCGAGGGGTATCACAGGCTTATGCAAGACTAATTTGGCGACAGAGAAGTTCATGTGGTGGTTCTCTATGGGGTTTGTTTTGCCGCGGTTGTTGACGTGGGTTAGTTTCCAAACGTCGGAGATCGACGCCACCATGTAAACAAGGGATTGTCCCACATCTGATTCGGATGGGAAGTGAAATGGGTATAAATGGGTGGGTATGTAGTACTACTCGATAATTTAAGCTTTTTGAATAAATGGGCAAGCGCTAACCTGTTACACTACCAATAAACAAATCTCAAAGGATGACAAAACTTATTTTTAACAAGTTTTTTTTTTTTTTGATAAGTAAAACAATTTGTAATAAATTTTTAACAAGTTTAAATCAAAATTTGAGAGAAATTTGAATAATTTGTCATATTTTTATTGTTGATGATGCTCTCCAAAGAAAAGCCAAAAATAAAATAAACACCTCGATGTAATTACATCAACCAAAAATAGAATGAAATAATTAAAGAGTTCTTTTATATTTCGTTTGGCATGCTTAGAATTGGAATTTTGAAATTAGAATTAGGGAATTAGAGAAAAATAACTAAGAAAATTAAAAAAAAAAATTTTCTCTTTTTACCAATTTCAAAACTCCAATTTCATGTCGTCAAACACAACCTTGAAGATCGGGTTTGTGAAATTGAATTTAATTAAGTTGTTTTAGGGGTATTGTGTGATCGTTGGAGATTATGGTTGTTGGCATTTGTTAGCTCCATTAGTTAGTGACCGTACTACATCCGGCACGTTAGCTTTCAAGCTGAAGATAAATGCAAATTGACAGACGCATAAAATGGAAATGGATTATACAATTTAATCAACTGCGATTTACGTGCACAACAAAATATATATTTGGGGATGAGAAAATAAGCAAAAGAAATGGGATTAAAGCAAATTTAGTTACAATTTAATAATACATTAATTTAATAATACATACAAATAACGTATTAGAATTGTATTTGCACTGAAACGCGGATTTGTACAGCCATAGTTTATGCAAAACCATGACATTTGGTAAGGTTTTGTTCCAACTACGCGGATTCGTGTAGTAGGCAAGCGTGGAATCACGTATGCACACTGATATATGCGTATATATATATATATATATAGATATAGATATATTTGATATTACCATAAAAACCTTGCAGTGTTATCAAGCTTCATAATCTGAGAACATGGGTGATGTGCATGTAGTCAGATTTTTACCATTTTTGGGTTTGCAAAAGAGACCCTACCATGGATCGTTTGTTGAGACTTTACATCCTTACGAATGAATGAGTTGGGTTTGTGTAAAGATGAAAGAGACATTTTTTTTTTTTTTCTTTCTGTCAACTGGATGAAGTTAAATAATTATATAGTCTAAGATTTGGACATTTTAAAAATCGAAATTATTGAAACCATTCCTCTCTTAGCGTGCTTCAGCTTTGATTACGTAAACAAAATTTTGTCATTTTGTTGTAATTAAGCCCTCCAATTATGTTTTACATAGACTTTAGAATGTGCCTAGTTCATTTTTCTATCATGTGAATCACGAATGCTAACTCTTCTAGTTACTAATTGAAAAGGGCAAAAAAGAAAATCCACAAGTCTCTTCCTATTAAATGGGTTGATCAATGAACAAGAAGGGGTCTCTTAAAATTTGAGGGAGACTATAGAGTTTAATGCAAATTGAATAATTTGTCTTTCCTTTCAAAAGATTATACTAACATGTCTTCCCCAAAGTAATAAAAGGATTTCTTATATAATTTGTAATGAAATTGAATTTAATTGAATAGCTTTGTTCACATGTAAGCTCCTATAGTGCTGAGAAATAAAGAAGAAATCAGGAGTGCAATAATACCGAAAAATATATCATAAATTTGAAGGATAGATGGATCACACAATCTCTCCCTCTCACGATTGGAGTGTAGGGCATTGCATCACTGCTCTAAATGAATTCACAATTCACGTACTCTTTTACTAGATCAGTTACAAGATATGTTAAATTGTGCCTTGGATCATTTACTGGATATGTTACTGTGCCCTTCCCAACCCCTTCATCTGAGAGTCGGGAGTTAGGGTGTCAACATATTTTACTATTAATTTAAGAGGCTAAATACTAGGAGGAGGACTGTTTTGTCATTTTAAGTTGGGTGAGGAAGATGGTATATATTTTACTTTTCTCTCTCAAACACAAAAATCGTATTATATGATATGGGGAATTTGGGGGGACCATTGAATAGTATTTCTTTATTGTCTCTCTCTCTCTCTCTCCTGCATTTTGTCTGACAATGGTTCATCCATTACTTGCTCTCACCAATTTTTTTTTCCCTTCCATTAAACAATTCTTCAAGTATCACTTCCTCATCACCTATATATGTAAGCATATATCCCTCTCTTCTGTTACAATTCCAAACTTATACACCAACAAAATATATATAGATATACCCCCTTGTCTCTTTCTCTCTCTAAACTTGATGTTAACCATGGAGGTGGGTATGATGAACAAACAAACTAATTTTGGTTCAAAGCCAACTTCAGCAGCAGTAGCCATGCACAGAGATTCACAAACAATATCAAAAGTGAAGCCAAAGATTCGCATAATTCACATATTTGCGCCAGAGATCATCAAAACAGACGTGGCGAACTTCCGAGAGTTGGTGCAGAGACTCACCGGAAAACCCACAGAAAGCAGCAGCAAGAAGAAACCAAGAAAAGGAAATGGAGCGGGTTTGAAGAAGCCGGCGGCGGGGGTGACTAAGAAAATGGAAGTGCAAAAGGGGTATCATTTTGTAGGGTTTAGGGAGAGAATTAAGGGGGAAGAAGAGATGTGGAGTAATAATAATGGTGATCAGAATTCAGGAGGTGGTGGATTCTTAGGTGGATTTGCTGATTTGGATGGGTTCATGCAAGAGCTTAATCAATTTCCTTTGGATGCTTCTCATGTCGATGCCTTTGGAGAGTCTTCAACTTGCCTAGCTATCTAGCTGCTTCATCTTAATCTATGACTCTTAATTTCATTAATTATTCAATCTTTTGTTATTGCTTTCATTTTAGGCTGTTTAATTAACTCAAATTTCATTCTCTCTCTCTCTTTGTTGTTCGTTCTCTCTCTATTTAATTATATGAATTTCTTTCAATTTCTCTGTAAATATGTGTTGAACGCATGCTTAAATTAGTGTATTAGTAATATTTTTATTTTCCTTCTGCAGTAAAATTTCCCTCATTTCTTCATACCCCATTTGGATGTTTATCAAGTAGTAGTTGAATATTTAGTTGTTTTCATACAATCCAGACTTGTATATGGGTTTTGTCGTTTGTGTGTATATATATATATATGTGGGTTTTGTCTCTATCTGAATTGCTTTTGTTTTTTTTTCTTTCTTGAGCGGCCATCTCTCTCTCGCGCTCTCTCTCTCTCTCTCTCTCTCTCGGCCAATTTATTTTTGGCAAAGCAAGTAGGACTTTGCGAAACTTGGAACATTTGAGAAATGTACTACTTTTCTTGCAAGATTTTACAACCTGTCATTAGAATTGTTTTTGGAAACGCTAGGTCTTTTTCGCACTAATTAAGTCCATGTATATGTATATGTATTACCCTCTCTGCCATTTAGATTCAGCATGTTTCGGTATTATATATGTATTACCCTCTCTGCCATTTAGGCCAAAAAATAATTTAAAAAAAAACAAACAATATTTAAGATCTACCATTGTTGACATAAAGATGAAGTGTACAAAAGAGCAAAATTACATTTTTATGGATTAAGGTTTATTGGGAGGTTAAATTCACCCAAACACTCCTATTTTCTGAATATTTAAACAATCCAAGTAAACCTGTAAGAGTTGGGCATGGTGGTGGGTTATAAGTTTGAGCTCCTTTGATCTGGTTTTGGCATGGTTAAGGTATCCAATTTGCATATGGCAAAATCATTTATCCATTCTGACTTGGTAAAATAATTTGTTAAACGGTGGATATACGAATCTTCACCGGTTTGTATTTGACTAATCATTACATATGAATAGTGATGATCACCACCATTAACATAATATTTGAATTTTACACACATTTGATAATTATAGGTTAATGCTAGATATTTCTCTTTCAAAACATAATGTTAAAAGATATAGAACATTACTGAAATGCTTGGATACTTGAAACTTTAACTTTTATTTAAAATAAAAAATATTAGTGGACTACAACCCTTTATAATAATAGGTGTGTCTAAAATTGACAAGCTTTGTTTGTTTATAAGGATTATAATTGAATTTTTTTTACTTGGGCAGGTCCATTTGGTCTCTTTTATTCATAATTTGCAAAGTACTCACTACAAAATTGAAATTTGAAATAATTATATGAATAAAATAAGCAAAATTAAGATTTGGGCATGTGGCCAATTGGGCTTTGTTCACTTGTTAATTGTCTACTTGTTTTATTTTCCTTCGGTTGCTTTTCAAACATGGGCCTGTTAGCAACATTACTTTTAGCCCAATACTGTACTTTTCTTTATACAGTACTTAATACAACTTGCCTTAATTTCTCAAGGAAAAAAAAAACCAAAAACAAATACTACACTACCAATTTCAATGATTATTATTATTGCTTATTTTTATTTTATTTTTTTTATTTGGGTAAGGTGCCTCACCTGTCACTAGTTCTGAAGACTAACCTTATTAGAGAATGCGTTGATATTAAAAATGGTTGGAAATGCATGATAAATTGAAGATTTCGTGCTTCAAAATTAAAGATTTTATTATTTATTATTTGTTCTTACAAAAATATATCAAAATTTCATTTTATGAGTAATGAGTGTGGAAGTGGATGTGGAGCATTAAACAACTTTGCACGAAATACACACTCATTTTGGTTTTTTGGGGAATAGTAATTCTCACTTTTCACTTTGGGTGAAAAGTAGAGGAAATACTTCTGAGCCATAAGATCTTTGCTAAGGAGTTTATGCACTTTATAATGAATAAATAAAATTGTATAATAATTATTTTTGCTCTTATAAAAAGAATGATTTTTTTCTACCATGTGCTTTATTTATTTTTTTAATAAAAGTAATTCTTCTTGAAAGAAAAGAATTAAATTCAAAATTGTAATGTAAGAAGAAAATGAAAGAAATGCAACTTGATATAAAATGAAAACAATGACGCGAACATTTATATTTTAGTGCATGGGTAAACTAGTTATAAAGTCATAATGAATGAAATTAAATATTTTTTCAAATTACTCTTATTAAAGAGTTATATATATATATATATATATATATATATATAATATTATATATCATAATATATTATTCATAATACATATTATATTATCCATTATTATACTATATATTAGCAGCATATTTAACGTAATATGTTTATTAACCTATATATTGTATAAGATATTATATAAACTATACGTACCCATATATCCATCATATAACAAAAAAATAGGATAGAATTTATATTAAGTAATTTACAGTATAAAACGTATTATGTATTATTAATAAGTAGGTCTAAGTATGTGTGGGCCGAATTCGGCAGAAATAATTTTGGTTTGGATTTAATTAGTTTTGAGTATGTAAAGTGGATTAAAAATGAGTCACAACGCTTTCTAATTCAGCAACTATCTCCTCTCGCTCTATATAACTTCAAACTTTCCCTCTCTACTTCCTCTCTCTTCAGGCGAATATTCTTCTTCACTCTTCCCCTCTCTCCCTCGTTTTCTCTCTCTACACTTTTGGTGGATCAACTCAACCGCCATTTCTTCATTGTCTCTACACTTTTTGATATCACATTCAATTCTTTCCACTATTTTTGTTTCTCTCTCTCTCTCTACATTGATCAGTTGTTTGTTGGGGTTGATTACTGATATCGCTTTCTTCAATTTCCTGGTTCTTGCAAACTCTGTGTCCAATCTTGAAATTTCTAGGGTTTCGTTTCAGAGGGAGATGAAAAATGTTGCCCTGGCTTAGAAAGATTGGAACAGAAATAAAGCGATACGGTCGCAAGTTGAAGGATGACGCAGTATTGGGCGGTGCCAACGACCCGCATGTCTGGTACAGAGACCTCGAGAAGCACCGCTATGGCGAGTTATCTTTTGCGGTAGTCCAGGGCAATGCGATTCTTGAGGATCAGAGTCAGGTCGAGAGTGGCAGCGATGCCACATTCGTCGGTGTTTATGATGGCCATGCTGGCCCTGAAGCCGCTAATTTCATCTATGAAAACCTTTATCCACATTTTATCAGTAAGCTTTCTCGTCTCTTCTCTTCTCTTCTCTTCTCTTTTTACATATAATAATTTTTCTTCGAATTTAAGTGTATTAATTAAATTGTTGCTAATGTGTATGAACGTTGACTTCTTTGTTGCTATTTTGATTTTATTTGAACCAAGATCGATGCCAATGATGGGTGTTCTTGATCAATTTCTTTGTTATTCTTTGTCTTGTTTTGTGTTGTATTTTATATAGTGCATGATCTTTGCTGTTATTTCTTGATTAATTAATTAATAGCTTGAGAATTTTTTCATCTAATTCGCTTATTGTTATTTCCACATGTTTCAGTTGATTGTGAAAGGCGAATATATAATTAGGGCTTAAAATATATTTTTGCACTTGAAAAGTTTAAAGAAAGAAAATCAGAGCTGCTTACAAAAACACATTTGGTACTGGTCAGCTTTGAAAAATGAAATTAAAAATCAGGGGTTAAAAGAACACAGTTAACAGAAGTTAATTAATGTATTGTGTAAGTCTCTATTAATAGGACGATGGGTTTGTTCGGACATTGATTTTCACTTAATAATTGAAAAAGAAAGATTTAGTATAAAACAAAGCAGTTTTAATCTAAACTATGGGTCTGTTGCAATTTTTTCTCTACTCTGCAACAAGCTTATAGAAGAAGCAACAATTTTCTTGTCAATTTGTGGTGGAAATTCCTCTCTAAAGTACGATTGCTATTTGCATGTGTGAAGCATATAGCTAGCCTTATGATCAGCACTTAACAAAATAAACAAGAAATTGACTTAGAATGCAAACTGTTTTTGTTAAGAAATTGACTTATAATGTCAATTTTCGCTTGATATGTGTATTTTATGCATTGCATGTCAAGTGCTAGTTCAGAAAGTCATATTTAGAAATTTTAGAACCTTATGTATTGTTTCACAGGGCTTGTTGAAGGTAGTGGAGCACTATCTGAAGACGTTTTGAGGAGGGCCATAGCTACTACAGAAGATGGATTTCTTTCGGTTGTGCGTGAGAAATATGATACACGTCAGCTATTTGCAACCATTGGATCTTGTTGTCTGGTTGGTGTCATCTGGAAAGGAACACTATATGTTGCCAACCTGGGTGATTCTAGAGCTGTATTGGGTTATTTAGATGGATCCAATCAAATTGTTGCTGAACAATTGACTAAGGAACACAATGTCTGTATAGAGGAGGTTAGACAAGAACTCATGGCCTCACATCCAGATGATCCGGAGATTGTATTTGTGAAGAATGGTGCGTGGCGTATCAAAGGCATCATTCAGGTTTCTCTCTTTTCTCTGTAGTTGTTACTTGATATTAGTATGATGTTTATAGATTTGATACTCATTTCTGTGCATTTATAACTCAGTAGTAGCCTGCTTAAATTTTTTATTGTCATGATCATATAGAATTTGTTTGCTTGTGACATTAATTAGCAAATTTCACCCACAACTTTTTATGACTTGTAAGCCTTCTCTTGTGTTGGGGATAGGTGTCTAGAGCTATAGGGGATGCATACTTGAAAATCCCAGAATTCTCTATTAGTCCATCACACCCGCGATTCCATCTTCCTGAACCGCTGCGCCAACCAATTTTAACAGCTGAACCATCTATAATGTCAAGAGTTCTAGAACCCAATGACAATTTTCTCATATTTGCATCTGATGGGCTCTGGGAACACATGACAAGCGAAGAGGCTGTTGAGGTCGTGCATAAGAATCCGCGAAGAGTATGTTATGTTATCTTGTGGCATCTATGTAGCATCTGTAGCCCTTTCTTTTCTAGGCACTCATTTTTTTTTCTTTGTTCTTTTCAATATCAGGGCATTGCAAGAAGACTTCTTAAAAAAGTTCTAACTGTGGCAGCTAAGAATAGTGGTAAGAAGTATGGTGAACTTAAGAAGATTGAAAGGCATGCCAGACGGGCATTTCATGATGATATTACAGTTGTTGTCGTCTTTATAGACAACAATTCGATGGGTGAAAGGGGTAAAAATATATCTGTACCCGATCTGTCAATACGAGGGTTCATGGACAATGCTGGATCTTCTTCAAAAGAGGGTGAATCTTCAGAACAGGTTGAATCTTCTTCAAAACAGGGTGAATCTTCTTCAAAACAGGGTGAATCTTCTTCAAAACAGGGTGAATCTTCTTCAAAACAGGGTGGATCATCAAAACTTCAACATTCTGCAAGGGATTGATACGAGTGCAATGACTGTTTTCTGAGACAAATCTTGTTAGTTGAATAGATCAAACTACTTAGAGAAGGCCAGGTTCAGCAAATTTACATCTTCATGAAATTTTTTGAAACACATGATGGTTGTTAGCTTTTCCTTTTTATCTTCCTGTCTTTCTTCTACCTTGATTTCAATTTGGTTTCTCTGCCACTCCAAAATAAAGAAAAACTTATTTTTTTTCCTTCTCTCCTTTTTAATTTTGTGTGTGTTTATAATTAAATGATTTGATACCAGATTGGATTCTGTATCATGCATATAGTTTATTCCTTTGGCATTTGTAGCTATATATATATATATATATATGGTGCTGAAAGTAACGTATGTAGAGTTGTTTTAACTGTTGCTGTGCATTTGATAATTCTTGTTTTTTTCGGAATATAGGGTCCTCTTTGGATTTTTTTTTTAAGAGTTTTGCTTCACTTTTGCATATATAGTGCGTAATGTATATTGAGCCCTTCCCTTTGGCAACTAAGGTTAAATTTTTAGAAATTAAAAAATTGGTTAGAAACTAATGAAGTACAATTAGATGAATTGTGAAAAAAATACAACAAATAGGAGGAGATATAAGATTGGATTAATAAGAAATAAATAATTAAAAGTAGAGTATCTCAAGCAGTAGAAAAGAGTACCACCAAGATCACTTAGCAAGAGGTTTATTCAAGAACTAGAAAGGTCAATCTAAAAAAAACCAACTTCAACCCATGGCTAAAATTACTTGTAATAAAATTTATGCTTATAGCTGTCTAGATTCGATCAATTGGCAGCCAAAAAAGTAAAATCAAAGACAACTGAAGAAGGATGGTGCATGGAGAGAAGAAGATGAAGAAATGTAGAGTACACATCCCTATACTATATAGCAACACAATCCGCGCAGCCATTGTCGTCACCATAAAAACGAGTCGAGGACTCAATATTATCAATTAAGTGATCAGGCATGTAAACTGTGAATACAGTGCAAACGGACGGCCATTGTCAGGGGCCGGCCAGCAGGAGAAATATTAGACCAGAAGAAGCAGAATCTACCACCACCTATATGAAATAAGTAAACAGGGTTGTCATCAGTGGGGAGCATAACCTTCCTTGGAAGACCTCTACAAGAACCATTTACGCTTCAACAAGTCATAGGCAAAGAATTGGGGTTCCAAGTAGCAGTAGAGCACACCATCCACAGCTGTTGACATGTCAATACAAGTACAACCAAACCATTCATCAAACAAAATTGGGAACCTTGGGAGGGCATAGTCGTGGTAGTAGGAGATAGGATGGTCCCAAAATATGGACGAGGACAGATGGTAGAAGCTAATGAAGAAGAAGAAGAAGAAGAAGAAGAGTTTTGGTTCTCCTTGAAGTCAAATCCTAATCTCCACGCTTATTGTGTTTTGTTTCCCAACCTTTGCCACCTCAGTCTGGCCTGCTCTTCCATTACTAAACCCCAACCCTTTACAGCATTCGGTCTTTAGAAATCTCTGAAATTAACTCAAGAGGTACAAATTGTTCGCCAAATCTTTACTAGGGTTTTGCATACACTGAGCTAGCGAGAGTTTTTCGTCTACTTAGGTGGTGATTTTCAGAGGCTCTTTGGGGCTAGAACTGAAATGAGCAATCTGGGGCGAAGGACATCAACCAATCTAGACCACAAGATTGGTTGGATGGTGGAAGTTGGTATTCAAACTGCTGAAATTTGTACACATATTTCCGACCAATTACAACCCAAAGGTTTGGTCTGCAAAGTAAATGATTAGATTCCAGTTAAAAGACAGCCTATCTGTTGTACTCGCAATATCAAATTTCTCTGCTTAATCAGAAATTGTTAGAAATGAATGAAGTGTATATACCTAAAAATGAATATCGACGGAGATCAAGAAGTAGAAACCAACTACAACCCATGTAATCCAACTTAGATGGTGCATGAGGAAGATGAAGAGAAATGTGCAGTAGTAGTAGCCTCCCTACATAGGCATTGGCTTGAGTATAAAGGCGAGTCACAGACTCTATATTAGCAGTTAATTCAATCTTGACATTGTAATCTGTGTCAACTGTGAATATGGTGCAAACGGCCGTTGTGAGTGGGCGGCAATCAGGAGAAATAATACACCAAAACAAGCAGAGTGTACCACCGGCTATATGAAACACGGTTGGGGAGCATATCTTGACCCCTCACTGGCTCCGGAAACCATTCACGCAGCACCAAGTAATTGTGGGTTCAAAGTAGCAGTAGAGCACACCATCCACAATTGCAGACATGTCATCACTGCAGCAACGACCAAACCATTCGTCGAACATGTCCCATGCCATGTTCCAGTGTCAATATTGTAAGATAGCAGAGCCTTTGGATCACAAGGAGGTTTCTATTGTTGTTATCGTCTAAGAGAAGAGAAGAGAAGTGCATGAACGGGACTTGCACATCTGGGAAGTAACTGAGGAGGTTGAGGCAACGGTTCCCATCTGAATCTGAATCTGAATCTGAATCTGAGAGGGGATCCAGAACCTCTGCATGCAGCATCTCAACAGGGTCCACTTACCTACTAGTTTTGTTAATTTCCTTCATCACCTCTAGTTCTCTCTCAGCACTCTAGAATGGTTAGGTGTATATAATTTATGAACAATATTTAGCTACTCAGTGTGGTGAGTAAGATGAAACTACTCACCCCACCCCTAAGTGTCCAATAACAAAATAATATATTACCTTTAATAATAAAATAATTCACACATTTCTTGAATCAATTGCATAATGTTTTTAGATGTTAATTATTTTATTATTAAAGGTAATGTATTATTTTATTATTGGACCACATAACGGTTAGTAGCTTGGCCTTACTCACCAGTGAATACCTCCACCTTACCTATACGGGAATACCTAAGCATTATCCATAATTTATTATCAATCTTATTATCAATCTTTTGACCGACCTTCAATTTTAACTAATTTGTATAAAAATTCCAAAATACCCTCAACATTTTACATCATTTTTCCCGCACTCTCTCAACAGCATCTCTTTCTCTCTCTCATCTCTCTCCACACACACGCGCAGTCTCTCTGTCTTACAATCTCACTTTCTCTCTCTACAACATCCTTTTGGAGCAATGATGCATAACCACATCATACCCCCACAAAATTCTCTTTTTCTTCTCTCTTTGATTTTGCTCTTGGTTTCTACGGACTCTCTCTCATTCCTCTAGTTCAAATAATTAAAGCCAAATCCAAATGACTAACAACAATAAAAGAAAAGAAAAAAACAAAGAAACAAACAATGGTTTTGTTCAAGATGGTTGTCGGGCAACCTTGTTTCTTTGTTAATGGATTTCCATTACCTGACCCACCAACACGAACAGAGTATCCATTGAAAAAAAAAAAACACACCCTATTTTCCAAGATCCACCACCTTGTTTCTGTGTTACTTTTATTTGTAATACTTAGAATTCCTGGTAACATTTGTTCAAAAAGGTGGTATTCGATCAGCTGATAAATTCACAATAAATATTTTACTTATTTTTATAATTAATTAATATGTCATAGTTTATGATTTGACTGTTTGAGGATTCTTTGCCTTGATGCACCTTATATGAACTGCATGTTATATTTTTTAGTACCAACTTATGTGGAAGACCCTTTAAAGTGTTAGGTGGGATTTGATTATTTGTTTTTTTAGTTTATTTGTGTGGAAAAATTATTTTTTTGTCCATGTAGATTTTGGGCAACAGAGAGGAGAACATAAATTAAAATAGATTTTTAATGGTGTGTTTGGTATAAACTGAAATTTCAAATGAAATGAAATACTTTTTTATTTGAAGGAAAAATAATTAATTAATTTTTTATATTTGAATGTAAAAAGGAAATAAATGGTCTCACTTTTACATATTTATTTCATTATTCTTCTACTTAAGACTATCTATAGTCCTGAAAAGAAGAAGAAAAAAATTGATAAGTACTAGTGTTGAACATACTCCTACTTATTTAATTCATTTTGGGATTAAAAGAGGAAAGAATGCTGCTCTACCCTTCAATTGAAACCGGCCATGAAGATAGATTATGAAATTACCCAAACACGTCCACTATAGAAAATGAACTAGATAGTCTCAAACTGAGATAAAATTGTGTGATAATGTGATAGTCCAGTAGTAAGGCATGTACATTTTGTGATCAAGGCATGTATACCTTGAGATCAAAAGCTAGGTTCAAATCCCCACTCCATCAGTCAGGTACTTTTAACTTCCAAAAAAAATAAATAAACCGCAATGTTCAGTTCATTTTGAAAGTCCTTTGTATGGTGATGATCTGAGTCCTTTGGTGTCTTGGACACGACATTTCACATGGAAGATACATATTGTACTTTAAATAATTGAATATATTATTTTCTAATAAAGTACTCCACTAATTATAAGAAACCCAGATTCAATCCAAACATAATAACACTACAAATAAACAACACTTGTACAAAATAATATAATGAAAAAAAAAAAAAAAAAAAAATTGAATTTATGGGGTTATCAGTTCTCTTCCATGTCCATTGCCCCATACTTAATGCCCCATACTTAAAAAGCAACACGCAGATAAGGAACAATGGCATAAAAATTTGGCAAAAAATTGGAAATGAAAAGCAGCAATCTCTGCAATCACATGATCCGAAGCCTTCGTGTGCAAAATTATGTAAGTCTCTTCATTAACCTCTTTTTTAGCATGCACCAGTATTAGAAGCATTTTCTGTGAACGATTGACGGACCAGACTCGTCATACTCTGCCTTTGCTATCCACATCTGCGCTCAGACAAAAAGAAAAAGAAAATTTTCCCATCAGGGATTCTTAAAAGTACCTGAAACAAATAATCAACTTATCGTTGTGCTCTAACAACTCAATGTTACCTGGCACAGTGGAGGACTCTTGTTTTTCAAATTACAGTCATTATTATAATATTAATCACATTTTCATCCTACTTTTGTTATTGTGACGATGGTTAACCATTAGTGCCAAGTTTCCTAACACGACAATTAACCCCACCAATATGAAATGTTTTCATGCATGCTAAATCAAATATGAACACAGTACCTGCTGGAATGTGCTGAGGGATGCCAAAATGGAACCTCCAATCCAGACACTGTACTTCCTCTCGGGTGGAGCCACCACCTTAATCTTCATGCTACTTGGAGCTAGTGCTGTGATCTCTTTGCTCATCCTATCCGCAATGCCTGGGAACATTGTGGATCCACCGCTGAGGACAATATTGCCGTATAGATCCTTCCTAATATCCACGTCACACTTCATAATTGAGTTGTATGTGGTTTCATGTATGCCAGCAGCTTCCATTCCTATCATGGATGGCTGGAAGAGGACTTCTGGGCAGCGGAATCGCTCAGCCCCAATAGTGATAACCTGCCCATCTGGCAGCTCATAGCTCTTCTCCACAGCTGAGCTGGTTTTTGCCATTTCTAGCTCTTGTTCATAGTCAAGGGCGATGTATGCCAGCTTTTCTTTCATGTCCCTCACGATTTCACGCTCTGCTGTTGTGGTAAAAGAGTAACCACGCTCTGTCAAGATCTTCATAAGGGCATCTGTGAGATCACGACCTGCCAGGTCGAGACGCAAGATTGCATGTGGAAGGGCATAGCCTTCATAGATGGGAACTGTGTGGCTGACACCATCCCCCGAGTCTAGAACAATACCTATATAACAACAAGCACTATCACAACTATGCAGAGAGAGAGAGAGAGAGAGAGAGAGAGAGAGAGAGAGAGAGAGAGAGAGAGAATTTCAACTTTTTAGCAAAATGGTTCAAGTCCCAACAAACAAATTTAATTACTTTCATTAGCATATCTTAGTTTCTGGTCATTACAAGCCAAAGCTTGTGAAATTTTAGCACACTGAAACTTGCATTCTGTCCTAGAGACAACCATGGGATACCTACAGAGTGCACAAGAAATTGACATTTATTTTTTATTTTTTGTAAATAATCAAATAGGAAGATGGAACTTAATTGATACATTTGGGGGAATTATTGAGAGAAAAACAGTAACGAGAATATCATATGTAGTAGACCATGTCTTAATAATCGGTCTCATCATATCTATAATGTGGGATCCCCCCCCCCCCCCCCCCCCCCCCCCCCCTTCTTTTTTTTCTGTTCTTATTGAAGGGCCGGGTTGGTTAATTTTATTGATTTTATTTTTTTAATGAGAAATGGATTGTATTACCACTTAATGGAACATACTGTTTATTTATTGGGGTTGTATTTATAGTGGCTACAAAACTGCAGGCATATATTGTTATTTGTCTTTTTTTACCTCCTAAAATTTAGAGAAGCGAAAGAATTAAGAAGATGATCTCCATCGTACGGTATTGCATATTAATCAACCCTTAGAAACCTTGTTCTGGAATTTTCATTCTAAAAGGTTCTAGCTTTCATGCATCACAATTTCAGTTATAGATTTGCTTACCAGTTGTACGACCGCTGGCATAAAGAGAAAGAACGGCCTGTATAGCAACATACATTGCAGGAGTATTGAAAGTTTCGAACATAATTTGAGTCATTTTTTCACGGTTGGCCTTGGGGTTGAGAGGAGCTTCTGTAAGGAGAACCGGGTGCTCTTCTGGAGCCACACGGAGCTCATTGTAGAAGGTGTGATGCCAAATTTTCTCCATGTCATCCCAGTTGCTAACAATTCCATGCTCAATTGGGTATTTCAAAGTCAAAATACCACGCTTGGATTGAGCCTCATCCCCAACATAGGCATCTTTTTGGCCCATACCAACCATTACACCAGTATGACGAGGGCGACCCACAATACTAGGGAATACGGCCCTTGGAGCATCATCTCCAGCAAAACCAGCCTGAATAATTAAGATCCAATGTAAATAGCAGCATCCAGGTTCCAGTGTTAGCAGTACGGTTAATGAAACGAACTTATATTAACTCATGATAATATGTAAGGTGGTCAAATGAAAGTATCATCCATGAATGATAATATTTTAAAAGAACTGGACATTGAATTGTTACCTTGACCATTCCTGTTCCATTGTCACATACAAGAGGCTGAATATCCTCATTTTCTGCCATTTCTTAATGTGCTCTGGAAGAAAGACACCATCAACGTATTATTATTCACAAAATATTACCCATGACTCAGAAAGTAAAATCATGCTTTTAATTGAATATTTCTTAAACAATCTCACATTCCAGCTTGCTTTAATAGTATGTTTAACAAAATCCTTTAGTCATGTGAAAAGCATGTTAAAATGTTATCTAACAAAAACCTCGTCAATTGACCATATAAAGATGTACAATTCTACTTCTATTTTCCAATGAATTGTTCAACTTGACGTGAAGCATAACCCTTTATGTTCATTAGCCTTTCCAATGCAAAAACTGTTGTCCAACTGATAATATAGATGGGAAAGGTTTTGTTTAGTTGAGTTGATTTGACTCGTATACGGATTAGAAGTGATTACTTTATTTTATATGGTTAAAAGATCTCCATAAAGAGCTTTATTTAGGATTCCATCCAACAAAAGCCTCATCTATATTCTAAAGAAGCAGGCAGGATAGATAGTTCAACAGTCCAAACATTGTGCAGACAAACAAATAAATAATTTGACAATTGCTTTGCAATGATGCAGATTTCAAATAAATGGAATCTTTTGTTGCATTTGGTAGCACCGAATCAGTGCTTTAAATTTCGGATTGGAGGAAACTTAGTTCAAAGTTTTAACTAAATTTCTTTCAATTCCAAATCCAAGCCGCCTATTCGGTGCTCCCAAACATAGCATGAATAAAATAGCTGAAACATCCATCAATGTGTTCAATACTTTCGATTGATTTCAGGTTCAAATCCACAAAAATTAAAATAAAAAGAAACTGATACAATAGCTGAAATAATCAAAATCAACCCAAGGATCCATCAAGGTAAGGTATTGAATTTACCAACATTCTACACACATAAGACTTGAAATATCCTTAAAAATCGGTTGTTCCAAATGCATGTACATAAACTGTTGTGACCCAATTCTCACGAGAACCCATGTAATTTCAGATTAAAAAACAAATAAAAAATTCAACAAATTTTTTTTAGAATAACAATCAAACTTAAAATCGGGACCAATAATCATAAACACATACACACGTATAAATGTATATAACGAGATACCCATAAGAAGATCCCTGGATCTCATTTTGGTAAAATCTTACATGGATGAATGTAACCCAATATTTTTCAACAAGGCAATCAAATATAGTAGATAAGAGACCCATCACAGCAATCTAACCTCTCCAATTTCACATAAAACTATAACATAACAGTGAAAATGAAACTGAAACTCAGATAAAAATGGAGTACCTTTGTTGGCGATCTCTATCTCTCTCGTCTCTGAACGGTCTCTGTTGCTGAGCAGCCCGCCCTCTAGTTCAAATGAAACACGGGCACGCATATAGATGAAACTCAACCTCAAATGAAATTCAGCTTAAATGAACCTCAAATTCATATTTCTTGAATCGCAATCGTTGCTTAAGAATATATCATGTTTGCATTTGATATGACGCGTCACATTGATGGAGGAAATAGCTGGCTCACTTTTTCAGTCTTTTTAGCCGTGAGGACAAATATACCCCTGCATATGTAAAAATCACCACCAATTCTCCGGGGTCTCCTTTTTTAATTTTTTAAGAACTCTAATTTTTTTCTTTTTTCTTTTTTGTTTTGCAGAAAAAGCAGTTTTAGGACACTGTCATTGATCGAAATCCTTGTTTTTCCCTTGTGCTGGGACTTAGGCGGGCCTAACCCGAGCAACTGGATTCCAGTCCGAAAATTTTATAGGCGTAGACAATGCTCTTGTATTTATGAGATGACATGGGTTCAAACATTAGAGCCCGAATTTTATTTTGGGAGGGATTTGGGATTAGATTTTATTAGTCTTAACAATTTGAGAAACCCGGAATACAAGAAAAATATAATTTTTTTAAGTTTTTAATGTTATACGTTGTATGGATAATTTAGTTTTTATAGTAGATTTTTCACCTAGCTTCAGACACACTTGCCAAAAAAAAATTATACTAATTGAATTTTAGTTGAGAAAACAAAATAATAAAGAATATAAGATTTGGGTTATTTCCAAATTCTAATAAGAATTAATTTTATTAAGTCCCACAAATTTTTTAGAATTAATTTTATTAAGTCCCACAAATTTTTGGATTCTAATAACATTGTTTGGTTAATTTATATCCCTTTTATTTTATGTCAAGTGACTCAAGTGTACATAGTTATATACTTTAGTATTTTTCTAATATTTATTTATTAGTAGGATATTATAATTTGGATAAATGCATGAGATATGATGAATTCCTTGGGACGTGGGCTTGGCACGAACTGAGGTCTGAGAACCTTGGGTTTGGCGTGGGCTAACCCCTTAGCGATTCCAAATCGCCTAAATCCCACCAGTACTTTTAGCATGGGTTTTAGCTTTGGTTGATATCTTATCCGCATTTTTAGAAATTTGATATTAAAATTTTAATTAGGATATTAAAATAAAATAAAGATGGAATATCAATAATAGGGAAAATGGTGCTATTTGATAACTCAATTTGTAAGCACCACTTAAAATTTTTGTTCTTGAATTTTATCCCAAAAGGTCTCATACGTTATACTTATTAGAGTATACAAATCTTAAGCGATGTGAGATTGTACCCCTGTAGTTTTGCGTCGGAAACAATTCTGGCTGGGTCAGGCTCTAATACCATTTGTAATGACTCACTCCACCACATGATATAATATTATTTGCTTTATGCCCGAACCCGCACGATTTTGTTTTTATATTGTATTTCAAAGAGTTATCAGTGTACAAATCCTATATATTGCATTTTTCCTTTCCACACCCTAGAAATATAGGATTGTACATATGTAACACGTTCGGTAGTTTGAGTGCATCTTACCCCACAAGGTTACCGCAATATTTATTTTTTAATTATTAATTAAAAATTCAGAACTTAAAATTTAGTTCTTAAAATTTTTAGTATTTAATTTTAAATTTTTGTTATGATTGTCATATATTTGATATGGAGGGACAAATTTGTCTTATGAGAATGGCCCTACCAATGAGAAAAGGTAAAATATTAACTTTATATTCATTTTTCCCATTTAGTGGGGTTGACTTGGCTGTGAGTAATGATACAGTACGTGGGATGATTAGGAAAAGCGGAACATTCCCAACTCAGCACCATCCCGTTTCCAACAGTCCCGCCTGTTTCTTTCCATGTGCGATTACCCACACCTGGATGTTACCCCGTGCTTTCGACGCTTGAACCAAGTTTTCTATCTACCTACAGAACCGGTCAAAGGTCTCCTATCCTAACGTGCCAAGCATTATCAACAACCAAATACTTGAATAAATCTTCTGTAGGGAAAATAAGGTGTGTTTGGATACATGAGAGAGAAAAGAAAATAAATGATCGTATTAATTAGGAGAGAAAGTAAAATAAATGAAAAAAATAATAGTTATTCTTATTTGGATAAGACAGAGAAGAGAGAAAAAAATAAAAAAAATAGTCCTACCCTTTCATAACCACTTCATACATTATCCATTTCCAAAATCTTGTTTCTTTTTTATAGTTCAATGCCGTGGGTAAAAACAAAAGTAAAAAATAAAAAGAAAAAGAAAAAAAAAGTATTACAAGGTTAAGATGAACCATTCAATATGGTTGAAGGTAACAATAGTCTTTAACCTTTTTTATGAGCATGTGAAAATTTTATTTTTGTTGTATCTGTTATACCTATCGGACTCAATCCCTTTCTATCCTAAATTGTTTAATAACTTTTAACATTGTCATACATCCTTCCATTCCATATTAGGACATAAATGGAATTACTTTTCTCTATGTTGATTTGTAAAAGGCATTTTTGATATTAATAATTTATAACTTATTTCACTATCATTTCTCTCCCTATCTTCTCAAATTGGGAGATAAATCATATAAGGAATAGATAGTGATAGTTATCCCTCCCTATCTCTCCTTATCCTCTCTTTTCTCTCCACTTAACCCACCTAAACACACTCTCACACTATCTTTTCTTTCTTTTTTTTCTCTCCCTATCCCTCCAAATCAATCCTACCAAACACACCCTAAGGTAATTTTGGAGTCAAAATCTCTTTGCAGTTAATTCCAAGAAAAAGGAAAATAATTCTGGAGTCAGAATGTCCTAGTTGAACTTTAATCGATTTATGTAAGTAAAAGTTGACGTTATTAATAGTTTTAAGATGTCATTAGTCTTACTCACGTGGAATTAATTGAATTTGTTCAACTATCAAACTCCAAAAATAAAAGGGGTGATCAACGGTTTATGAAAGAATAATGCAGTGTTATGAGTTCTTCACATCTAATTATTGAATTGCGATAGATCTCTTGAAAGCATTACTTTTTATGAAATGGTATCAAGCTACCAAATCTTATACATAACGACAATTTGATATTTCGAAGTTAATTGACACATATTAATAATGTGTTACATAAACCAAACGCGATGTAGTCTAATGGTACATTCTTATCTTTCAAACGAAAAGGTTGATGATTCAAGTTCTCATATGAACATTGTGGGTGTGTGAATATATTTCTTGTTAATGAAATAAATAAATAAATAAAATTTAGGAACATACATGGCACTTAGTACCATACGAATACAACACAAATATACTTGTAACACATTAGGCATATATCATTGGGTGATTTCACCACAAACTCAAACATTGAAGGGTTTAATTTAAGAATAAATGTAGAGGATGACCACACAATTAAAGAATATTATCTATTGACTGACCAAGAGTTTAATTAGGGGACAATACTAGCCTACTCATCGGTGAGTAGGAAGCTCACACTTACCCCTAATGTGACGTAAAAGTAATGTGACAAGTGTTCCTAGAATAGAAAATAATTTAAAAAAAAAAAAAAATTGAATACTTATCGGGTCAACCCATAAGAATGCAAATCAAATCCTAATTTAACTCACTCCTTCTCTCAAACTACTCGCTAAAATTTTAATTTGCTAATATTAGAAGTTTTGACTTTATTTATCTTTTATTGTTTAATGTGTAATCCTTATGTATACTTATTAATTATTTTTATCTAAAATATACCAAATTATATAAAATCTGATTCACATGATTTGATAAATGATTTATTGATTGCAAGATAAATTGTTGTTACTTTTTTTTTTGTCTTCTTTTTCTTTTGGCGGAAAACAAATATCTATGTATCATTACATTTATAGTTCTTCTTTTTATTTATCATCCAGAACTTTATTTATATCTTGTACTATTATTTTATTTAAGAATTTTAGCTTAATTTTTTTTTTCCCGACTAGATCCCCTCTTCATTCACTCCCTAGACAAAAGAGAAAACTAATGTAGCGTGAGAGAGAGAGGAAGAGAGAGTTAGATTTAGATCATATTGCGTTTAATCCGGATAATCTCTCAAATCTTTTAATTTTTATTATTTTATATTATAGGGACATGTGTTCCACTAATTTTGCGCACATTAGAGGTAAACATGAATTTTTTATTCGCCGATGAATTGACAAGTACGGTCCTTAATTAGGTGATCTAAGTGATCAATTACTTGGTGTGAACAGCTGGTAGATGATCATTTTGTTTAGTGGCATGCCAGTAAGCATTGTGTCTGAACTTTAATCATTAAATTAGCAACCATATCTTAAATTGGATACCTTTATTCATTCATGTGAACGTTTAGATATTTAATCATGGTTTCTAAATAAATATTGATCCTGCATGTGTGCTACTACATATACATGTATGTGTGTGTGTGTGTGTGTAAATGCTGCGTGTGGTGGTGGTGTGGTCGCAATTGATGGTCTACTTTGGTCCCGCATGCATGCATGTGTGGTGGTGGCGCGGTGCGGAAGAGAACTTTTCTTTATTTCTTTAAGAAAAAAAGGATCACTTGTCATCCAACTATAAAGTATGAAGACTCCATTGAAGATGTCTCTTGCATTAATATGTATGAAGATTTTTATTTTTATTATTATTTTTCTGTAATTAAAGATGAGAATATGGATTGGGCCGTGAAGTTACAACATTGATAATCTTGAATTCGAGTGAAGAGGTCCGGTCTTGTAGGAGAGCATAGTGACACTAGTTGGAAAGGACATATTGGGCCTCAACGATCTCAAAATATTGTTAGGGTTTTGGTTGATCACTAGACCCAGCTACTCTAGATCTGATTATACTACTCGGGCCTCAATTATGCTTATTTGGCCCAATATACTGGTGCTGGGCTTGCTGGTGATTAGAGTGACAATTCGTGCTCGCGAGTCATAATCGTATCGTGTCGATTTAGAATTATTATACTAAATAACTCAACTCAAACACAATCAGTTTAATATTCATGTTAAGAACCTTCAAAACTAACTGGACCTATTTATTAAACCGGTTACAAAATAAAAAATAATATTATTTAAATTATTAATAATATTCAATCAAATAATAAATACTAGACAAATATAAATTTCAATGCAATCAAATTATTAAATAGCCTTTAGTCTACAAAAGACTAAATTATAAGACACATGTTTAAATAGTTATTTTGAAACTTAAATATAAATTTGTTTATGACACGTAACGGCTTGAACTATCTCAACTTGAACAGGACACAAATAAATAAACGAGTTAATCTTATTGATCCATTTACGACCCGAATCCGTTTAAAATTAACCAAAACCCATTTAACTCATATCGTGTTCGAATCATATTGATGAATCATGTCAAACTTTTTCATCCCTTAATTGGCTGCCTATATATGATGAGTCGAGCATACCACATCATTGATACGCTCGTCCAATTAACATACACCACATTATTGGTATATCCACCCAATTAACATACAGCCTAGGTCTTTTTTTTTTTACCTTAAAAGAGGCGCCTTCAATTATGTTTTAAGAATTAGCAAAAAAAAATTATGTTTAAGAAAATATACAATTATGCCTGATTTTTCATTTTTCTTTTGGTGTAGGAAGGAAAATAGGATAAGGCCAAAGTGTTACCTGAGTATTAACAATGAATAAAAATGATGATTTTCTCTTTATCTCTTTTAAAAAATGATAATGGAAAAAAATTCACAAAACTACGTGCCTTTTCAAATTGTCCCATGTTGAAATAAGCAATAAATAAATAAAAATCAAGTAAATAAAAATCAATTAAAACCATAACATTATCTGGACTAGAGACGATGGATATATTATAATTTTGAAACAAGTATATAATTAGGGGGTGACAATTTGTGTTCGTGGATCGTGTTCGTGTCGTGTATTATACTAAATAGGTAAACCCAAACCAAACTCATTTAATAATCGTATCAAGATCCTTAATATTAATCCAACCCATTTATTAAACATATAAATGTGTTAACCCATTTAAAAATCTGTTTATCAAATCGAGACATTTAATATTTAATCAAATATTAAATAATAGAAAAAAAATTGTCATAATTAAACCAAATATTCAAAATAAAAAGAAAAATCATAAGGCATAAACAATGTTTATGTTGAAATGATTTAACTATTCATAGTAATTAAGTTTAAACAAGTAACATATTACATAGGTCATTATGGTCATATTCACAATTATAATATGTTAAGTTAAATGGGTCATAAACAGGTTATACGGGTTGAATTTCTCAACCCAAACCCAACACGGTTAAATAAAAGGGTTAATCGTGTTGACCTTTTATGACCCAAATCTGTTTATGTCAAACCCAAATCATTTTAACTCGTGTCGTGTTGTCGTGTTGTGTCGTAATTTATCGTCCGTTAATACAGCATACAAAAAGACAAAAGAAAAATATATAAAAAAATAAATTCTGGGTCCAATGTAGTTCTTCATTGTATTAGATTCAGTCTGGGGTTTATTGATGAAAAATCTACATAGGAACAATTTTTTTCGTTTGTACTTCCAATTATTATTTTTTATATATATATAGTTCGTGGGGGGTTTATTGAAATTAACCATAAATAAAAGAGAGAAAGGAAAGGAAAAAAATAACAATCTATGGTCCTATGTATTACATACTACTAGTATTACTTTACTGAGGTTGTTGTTTACTCCAAGCGCTAATACAAACAACACGCAAAGATATATATGTATATATATATATACACGCACAGATATATATGTATAATCTGATACCATCCCGTCTAGATTGATTACTTTCTTTTAATTTTCTCCATCAAAATATTTGGATATCTTGTTGTCAAAATTTGTTTATGTCATTAATAGATATATAATGCTTAAAACTGTACAGATTCTTGGTTCCTCTTATGGGTTTGTTTCGCAGCGGTTGAAACCCCATGGGAATTGTGGGCTGTCTTTCATTTCGATCTCTACCAAACCCTCGTTCTCTTCAAGAAGACCAACAACTGCTTCTTTGCCATCGTCCGCTGTTTCAGTTCGCAAGGGTCGTTGTTTCAGAGCATCTAGGATGGCTCTAACACGTTCCGAGTCAAACCCAGAAGGCATCGCATCATCATCCTCGTCGTCTCCTTCTTCTTCTGTTGCGTTTAAGTCAGCTGTAAGTTTTCTGACTGTTCTTTGTGTTATCTTTGATGGGTTTGGTTTGAATTTCTTGTGTGTTTATTGCATTTTGTTTTGATACATTATAGTGATTTTGTACTTCACTGGCAATGTGCTGAGTTGGAATTCTAATCTTTCATTGGATTATTTTGCTGACAATGTGCTGAGTTCTTTCATTGAATTGGCTGATTATGTTTTTCAATTTATTAGTTTCTGTGGCACCTCATAGTGTTATCTTTGATGGGTTTTGCTTGAATTTCTTTTGTTGCATTTTGTTTGTGTGTTTATATAGGGAATATGTTATTCGTTGACAGTGTGCTGGAATAGGGGTTTCTGTTGTACTCAATTGTATGATTAGATTCTCATTTTGGGCTTCTTTCTTATGGTTACTTATAGTGTTATCTTAGTCGTGTTTTATTGGAAGTTTTTGAGAGTTTGTTGCATTCTATATGGCAGGTTATCCTGGGTTTGAAATAATGTACTGAAATAGGATCATGTTAATTTATTGATTTGCATGATTATAGCCTCACATATTTGATAATTTGGTAATGAATTGTATTGAAAGGAAACGAGCTTTAAGAATCTTGATGATTAGTTTATGGTGGGTTCTATGATTTTGATGTTTGGTGAAACTATAATGGGCAATACTGAAGATGATTTGTTATGCATAATGGAGTTTTCTTTTGTTTTAATTATTATTAAGAGGGAGGTAGTCAGAGATTTGATTGGTTCTATTCAGTTATATTATGCGAAGGGCAAGACCTAGTTGGGAAAAAGCGTAGCTTCTGTGATTTTCAGTTTAATTTTTTTTTGGATTTATGCAGTTTTATTAAATAAAAGGCAAGACCTTGTTGATGCAGTGTATACATTGATTGCAGACAACTCAAATTAGAGAGTAGACATTATAAAGTAGAAAACCAAAGGAAAAAGCGAATGGGTTAGAATTTTGGGATTGGACATTTTTTATTGTCATGGATTTTTTTTTTTCAATTTTTTTCCCAGACCTTTCCATGTCCACATCAAGCAAATGCTAGGGGCCATTGCCCAAATAATATTGTTAATCCTTGCTCTCACTCTGGAATACCACTCGTGGGACACATCTGACAAAGATCTTGGAATGAGCTACTCAAACCTAACAAGGAGTAGAAGATGCTATATAGTGTGGATGTTAGTTATCCTTCTTCTGGAAAGTGCATGCACTTTTTAAGAGGAGCCTTTTCTAGATATATCATTCCCAACCAAGAAACTTTGAATGTGTCACAAAATTCTAAAAATCATGGATTGCCTACGGCCGACACAGGTTAACCGTGCAACGGATGTTTTAACATAGAAACAGAATAAAGCTCAAAATTAATTTGTTTTTTCTTAAAAAAAGCTAACAGCGAATCATAGTAGTGCACATAATTTAATTATGTAAATAATGCTCATTGATCTTGAGTCTTGACCTTCCATTGTCTTGTAGAATTCAATTAATTTTGTGTCATATATTATAAGAATTTTTTTAAATATACTTAATTGTAGATCGATGTGTCCTCCCATTCTCGTGACCTGCTTCCTAATGATTTACCTTATCGGTGTGTCTGTGCCATGTGTTTGATGTTGCATTCTCTCATCTCTCTCTACATATATGTGTGTGTGTGTGTGTGTGTGTTTTGTTTGTGTGTATTTATTCATGCACTTGCCATAGCACGCGCTGGGCTCTGAGCTTTGAATGTGAGTGGCAGTTTAGATCCAACTGCACCTCATAGAGTGGGCAGTTTGTTTTTCTTATAAATACACACACACACACACATTATTCATATTATGTAGGTCTTGTAGTGTTTGCTAGGGCTGGCATCCTTAGCTTGGCCTAAATGATAAAGGAGGCAGATTAAGTTGATATATTATTAGAATCTGTTTGATATTAGTTTGATAAGGAAGAAGTGTTTTCTTGATTATGTATCTCATAATCATGTAAGCTTGAACAAATGTGTGCATTTATGTGTGAGTGAGCGAGCAGAAGTACATGCATGTGTATGTTTTCATCATTTTCCCTCCTCACACCCTCTTCTGATATCTTTCTTCAATTTGTTGTAATATCTACTGCTATGTAGGGCAACTCACGTAAGATCAATTTCTGTCAATCATGTGGTGGCCCAACAAAGCACGAGATACCTGATGGTGAGGAGAAGATCAGGGCTATTTGCACACTTTGTGGGAAAATTGCCTATGAGAACCCAAAAATGGTAAGCTTTTATAATGGAAATTCATATTGACATGCAAATTGGTTCGTAGAACAACATGTGTTGCATATAATGATTTTTGGTGCTTTTTCTGGAGTCCCTTAAAAGAAATGTCTCCATTGTGGTGCTGTACTCTATTATATTATTAATTTATTATCAAAAAACAATATCTCTTTTTGAGTGTTTTGGTATTGCATCTGTTTGGTAAGTGAAATTATCAAATATATGGAGAAATTTACAACATTTTGGTTGGGGTGTACGAAAAGGACTAATTTATAATCATGATTCCTTTATTATTATTATTATTATTATTATTATTGTATACTACGTAATTCTTAAATTTGCAACAAAATTAAGATGCTTACGTGGTAAATGATTCTTCTTGGTGGCTTATATGAATGATTGACAATTCTAATGTCTTCCATTATCTTAAAATCGTGTAAACCTCCCAAACTATCCTCATACATACCGAAAACTCGTGGTTTGCAAGTGATTGCATGCTTTATTAAAGATTTGTCTTCGACTGAAAATGTGTTGGAGATACGCTGGCATAGCCAATATATATTCACCCACACAGGAAGATATTCTCATATCCTTGGTCAGTTAATTTAAGAGATGTAGGTTGTCAAAGTTCTACTTGGGGGATTGTTTAGTTTTTCATTTGACTTAAGAGTATGGGGTTTTCCATGATTTTCTTTACTTAGTTGCTTATTAAGCAACTTGTGAGAAGATTATACATAATCCACTCATTTAACTTAGTTATTGAGGGCTCACAATTATCATCAGTCTTCTTTTTCTGTTAGGCTGCCACCAAATCATTGCTCCACGTGTTTCTTCTGTATTTTGATCTTGACATGGTTATTTGTTTTAAATCGGTACTTACAGGTTGTGGGTTGCCTCATTGAGCATGATAACAAGATCTTACTCTGCAAGCGAAAGATTCAACCATCTTATGGTCTTTGGTACACAATTACATGAAAGTAAAATTAAGCTGTCAAAGACAAAAAAAAAGAACCTTTTGCTTCTTAAAAATAGTTCTTTCAATCAATCAGTTAAAGAAATGGAAAAAAGAATACATGTACAGGCAAAATACTGGAACTACTTCAGTTTTGAAGTGAGATACCAGTGCCTTTATTGTTAACCATGATTGATTAAATCATTTTTCTTGTGGCTGTACGCATAGGACTCTTCCTGCTGGTTACATGGAGATTGGCGAATCTGCTGCAGAAGGGGCAATCAGGGAAACATGGGAAGAAGCAGGTGCAGAAGTGGAAGTCCTGTCACCTTTTGCTCAATTGGATATCCCTCTTATCGGCCAAGTGAGGAGAAATATCTCTTTGTTGACCTTATATGCACCTCCTGCTATATATGTGCATATTCATTTGTCTCTTGTTTGGAGCAGACTTACATAATTTTCTTGGCAAAGTTGAGAAGGCACCATTTTTCACCTGGTCCAGAATCATCAGATTGTCGGCTTTTCCCTCTTGATGATATTCCTCTTGATTCTTTGGCATTTTCGTCAATGCTGGTTACCTTAAAATTGGTAGGAGCTAGTTTTAAACATTAAGAAATTATATTTTCTATGTTAGTAATTACTTAACTCTTATAATCTGTCATTTTCATTATTCTTTGTGCAGTACATTGAAGATATAAAGGTTGGAGGACCCAAGTTTCACTATGGCACCATCAATAAAAGGTATTTTGAGTATCTATAAGCTTTGGGTGAACTTACTTGAGAGAACGAAAAAGAAAAAAGCTTGTCCTACAGTTTTATTTTATTTTATTTTTGAGTTCAACTTTATTTTTCTTGTCAAGGGGAATCGTTCTATATGATGGTAAATGCTCTGTCTGCTAATAATTAGAAGGCGGGTTTGAGTATGAGAACAATTACTTTGTGCAAAATGAAAACATGCTCCCTGGTGATTCTGCTGAAACCACCAAGTGTTTCTTGCATTTTCTTTATTAAGCCACTTTACTTCTTTCAAGTTTTCCTGCAATGGGGATCAATGGATCTTTGGTAGAAAAACTTGTTTAAACAGTAAATTAGCAGGAAAACAAGGTGAGAGAGCAGATTTCGATGACACATGAGCAGTGCATTCACCTTCTCATATTATGTAACAGTGATATTGTCAAAAGCAGTCTGCATACTCTTTTAGATTACTCTAAAGGAGCTGCATGAAAATTTTCGTGAGGTGTGTGGTGAACTCATGCCTTCCCAGTTTAATGTTTTGAACTACTCGTGAGATTTTAAAGGAAAATAAGCTAGTGAATTGAGTTGTCACTCTCTTGTCTCTCATGTTCACACATTTACGTGTAATATATTTTAGTGGGGTTGGCACATGGCTTCTTGAGAAACTCTTTATTGTCCATTAATATGTGTTTGTTGACTATTTCCAACGGTTTGTTGGCTGTTATATAGAACAGCAAGTGGAGTCTCATACTCCCTCTGTCCCAATTTAATAGTCCCATTTGGGTTTTTTAACCTTTTAAGGGGACAAACATTTAATATAGTATCAAGTTTGAAAGTTTTTGAAAACATAAAGGATATTAGTGGAAAGATGCATTTAGCTTTTCTTTACTTTTCAAATTGGACAACTATTTTGGGACAGCCAAGAAAGGAAAATGGACTATTAAACTGGACGGAGGGAGTATTAAATTTGTCATTCGCGATCTTCTTTGAATAACATCCATGGCATTCTTAGTAACCGCAGCTTATGTGTGATCTGTGGTGTATGTAGCAAATATAGCTTGGGGGGTGATCATTTACTTGGTTATGCCTGTTACTGCAGCATGGCCAGAGACTGTTGGGATTTGATGCTTGGATTATTTGGGGTCCATTGGGTTATGCCTTGTTCCTCTAGAGGGTTGATTGAGGCTTGGAGAGGTGTCTCTGTTGGGGTTCTCATTCAGGATGCTTGGAGGGCTACGCCTCTTTGTATTTGGTGGTGCATTTGGCTCGAGCGAAATAGGAGATATTTTGATGGAAAGAAGAATCCTATTTCTACGCTTAAGTTCTCTATTATTTCCACTCTTTTTTGTTGGGTTTCAGGGAGAGATTATAAATCTATTGGGGAGATTATTGTTTTTTTGGCCTCTTTGAAGGTTTAAGGCGCCTTGTGGCCCTTGTGTTTCTTTGGGTTCCGCTCCCCTTTTGAGCGTTTTTAATAAAATCTTACTTATCAAAAAAATATATATATTGAAATTTTTCTAACATACTTTAATATTGTAGCTCATAGATAAATTGTGGGGTACAAAAGAAGGAATGAGAAAAGTCATTCGGAAATCGAAACTTAAGCGCTTTTCTCAATTGGACTTCAAAGCTAAAGGAGAAAATCTAGTAAGATCAGCAGTTTGGTTAAATTAACAGGCCTCTTACTTTTTGGTTACTTCGAATCGATTTATTGTGCCCTTTTGTAATATGTGTATGTAATGGGGAAGTGTGATTTTTCATGTTGGAGGTTTAACAGATCTAACAAGGTTGCTGTGACTTTTTTGATAATTTATATTTTAACTTGTGATACTTTTTTCTAGCCAAATAGTTGGTTTAAAAGGCATTTTGAACGTTTAAATTTATATTCTTAAGAGTTCTGAATCTTTTCTTTGGTTGTTGACAGGCCTGGCACAAGCCCTTCTGATATCTCTGCCTACACTCTCGATTATCACTTGCAGTCCTGACAAGATGGGGATTCCTTCATATTTGTAGTGAAAAGAGAAGAATGAAGAGTGAGATGCATAATGTTCATTATTTAAATTCTATTTTTCTCTATTTCATCACTGTAAGGGTTCTTCTGGTGTGACACTTTGATGTTTGAGGCCATCAAACAATAGTTTCAGCAGATCCATTACAATAAGATCCTTCATATATTAACCATTGATCCCTCGCATAATACTGTTGATAATGAGAATTGTTAACTATGCCTGCTGATAATCATATGATTTTTTTATAAAATGTATAGAAAATTACATCTCTCCTCCCTCCCCAATCCATAAAGAAAAGATCCTCTTGCTGCATATCTGTTACATTGCTTTGCTGGTGCAGAGCCCTACTGCTGTTTGAAACTCGGAACTTGAAGGAGCCGACTGCATGTTGGTCAATTTCAACGACGGTTCTCCGAACCCAATGGAGCTCACTCAGCCCTTTCTGGTTCATCATAATCCGTGTAAACTCTGGAATCCAGACCGTGGCTTATTGATCCATCACTTTTTAATCAAATGTGGGAAATTGGAATGACTGATGGTTCAGTGTCTTGGTGGAAGATTGTAATTAGAATGACATGGCAGAAATATGGAAAATAATTGTAGATTGCCAGTTTGTAGTTTTTCCTTTTTCCACTTGGAAATTTATAGTAATCCATTTTCCCGCTTGCTTCTTATGTGAAACGTTTGACAATCCATTTCATCATGCTTAGGATGTGTTTAGAGGCATCTTCAACAAAAACTTGGCTGATTTTATTGATGCTTCATCATGTTGCTGATAATTTGGTCAAAATATGAGACAAGTTCAGCTTAAGCTTCGTCACAAGGGGGTGAGAAAATACCGAATGCCGACCTACAGAAACGAGTTTTTAAAATTCTAAGACATACATTTTTTTTTGGATCTATTCTTTTTCTTGTTACCCATCTAAAGCCGCAGATATTATCACTTGCCAAAAATATGGTAGCCATCTTCATTTCCAAGGACGCGGCTGGCTCACTTTGGAGTAAAAATGGCTCCTCCGCAAATAAATAGTTTCCCGCTTCAATCAGGTATGGTAGCAGTTGCATCGTAAAATTGATAAAAAAGCAGCAGCCATTCTTCATACATTTAATTGACCATTCACAATATATAGCTACTCTAAATTAAAATGAAAAAGAGAATACATTGATCTTGTATCCCATCAAGGAGTACAACATAATAGTACCAAAAAGGTGTAGTATAGTTCTGTGGAGCAGACAACAACGATGACTGTGGAGGACAAAGACATTGGTTCTTTTATCACTTCTATAACATGCAGATGTAGTGTGGCGACTGGCAACACCGAGTCAATGAGGACTTGGCTAGAGGTGCATTCGATAGAGAAGATGTGGAAATTAGCACCTATAACTTACTCTCAACCCATGTACACATGACGCTTGTTTTGAGGAAATCGCTTTCAACAAAATAACCTTGTGATTAATGCACATTTAAGCCCAAAGGGATACACAAACAGGGTTGTTTATTATACTTGATCATTTTCTCTGTTTTGGAAGAAACATGACCTCAGGGTGTTGACTCAGGTTGCTTCTCCGCGAGCTGCTTATTAAGGAACTCCAGCACAGAAAGGCGCTGCATGTAAACATTACAAGTATCAACCACATTTTCAAGGTCCACTATATATAGTGAAGAGAAAAAGAAATTGAGCAGAAAGGGTCGTACCCGTTGTTCAAGATCGACTTCTTCAGAATTTAATTTCAAAGATTCCAACAACTTTATTGCTTCTTGAAATCCATCAGTTGCCAAATCCTCATGTTCAAGATTCCTATCCACATCAGCAACTTTTGCAAGAGAAACAGCCACATCTAGAATCTGCAACCATGGGAAGTAACATATGGAAATAAATGAAATGCAAGTGAGAAATTATTATCTTTTCAGGCAGCTGAATACAGTAACTACAGCAACTTTATTAGCTATCTGACATTACATGGTGTCCTGGAATTGTTTAGAGAGAGGCAAGAAAATTAAAAATTTAAAACATCTATTTACCCAATAAAATAAAAATAAAAAATTCTAAAATCTCATTCCTCTAGTTTGGTTGAGAGAAAGGAAAGAAAGTACTATCATATAACTGGATGGAATGACAAAGAACCATTTCTTTTTCCCCGCTGAGTAAGTAAACAAAGATTCAACACGAAAGCAAAGTTTAAAAACAAAAATCCAACAAAAAAGAAACAAACAATGATATCAGCCGCTTCTTTGGAATGAACCCCTTTTCCTTTCCATGAAATAGTGCTTCTCAACATGAGCCTTTCCCTTTTCATGGAAATAATAATTGAAAGTTATTTTTCCATGCGGTTTTTCGCATGAATGGCCGAATTTGTACTACATGTATAATAACAGCCTTGAGGGGATAATCAATTCAAGGATTGTTGCAGTGTCCAGTGTGAGAACTGTGGGCCCTAATTCTTCTCCTCTGCATGCTGTGCGCAATGCCAAGGGTACTTGTTGACTTGTTACAGTTATGGAAAGAGGTTTGGGTGGAATGGCACGGGAGGTATGATGGCAGGTGCGCAATGACATTTTTTCATGTATATGGAAGGAAATAATTAGGTGTTCCTTTGAAGGGAAGGGATGCTGTTATAAATATATATTGAAGAATCCTTTTTCTGTGGATTTTCAGGAAAGCTAATCATATTTTTGAGAGTTTAGTTTCTGTGGAGCTTGCGTTTTGCATGTTCAGCGCTTTTTGTTATGCCCGTATATACGAAAATAAGTAGCTCTCCCGAAAATCCACAGAAAAAAGGAGACCTGCTTTTGTACTTTCAAAACGCAAGCTAGAAAAAAGCTACGTAGATCTACCAAGTTACTAAACACTTCAAAAATGTTCCACAATTATCTTTATACCTGAAGTCAAACAACATTGCAAATAGAAAATAATTCTTATCCATATTGAAAACATGGTTGCAGACCTGGGATGAAGCATTAGGATGTTGCTTGATGGCATCGCGACGGACATCTAAAGACCGAAAATAGTAAGATCTTGCAGCTTGCAGGTCTCCATCATAATATTTGAGATCTCCGATTTTGTTAAGTGAAACAGAAAGTGTATGCGTGATCTGTAAAGTTCCACAAGAATCAGGGCAGACATGGTTAAATTGTACAAAAGCATGAAATCCAAATCACAATTAGGGCATTCAAGCTTAATCACAAGAAGAAAAATGCCCAACTCTACAATATTATGATTGTGAATCCATTACCTCCAAATCATCTGTTGGCACTTTCAGAAGGAAATTGGCACTCTCTTCGAAATAAGAGACTGCAGAACCAGCATCTCCCATGGCTCGACTGCAATATACATGATTATAATGTGTTAGATCTTTCTCATATAAACACTTTACGAATCAATATCAATAACCAGACATCAAAAAAGCTTAATAGCAACAAAACACTATATTGCAAAGAATTACTCATTTTCATGTCATACATATCCCTTAGATGGCATAAGACCTGCATAACCAACCAGGTCATCAATCTTGACCTTTATTTATTTCACAAACGTGCAAATTGTATTCCATCAGTGGACCAGTTTGCTTAATCAAGATGTTCATCGTAAAACTTGCCTCAAGAAAAAGTGAACTGACAATGCTTCAAAATACGATAACATTACTTATCCAAAAAAATATATATATATACGGTAACATACCATTATGTTATGCAAAGACTGATGTTCCTCCGATCAACATTCAACTCAACAGAACTCACATGTCACTGTTCACTAACATGACATATTAGAATGCACGGTTCAACTTTTATATAAGTACAAAAACTGAGTTTGATGCTCTCAAAGATTTAACTCCATAAACTCCAGATTTCATTCATGGAATCACTTTTGACATCTAAGAGGCTATTGCAGTTCTTCTACAGTGATATAAGACTTTAAAAAATGAATAATAGATACCTATATGCATTAGCTAGAGCAGTCTTTGTATTGGAGATCTCATCTTATTTTTTTCTTAGTTGGTACTCACACACGCATGCCTCCATGGAGGCTTGAACCTCCCCATGGGAAGTACGGGCCTGGTACCGCTAGGCCACTGGCCTATTGGTGATCTCATCTTAATTTTAGGTACTTCCATGATTTACTTATCAAAAAAAAAAAAATTTAGGTGCTTCCATGTTAACTTCACCTTGACAATTAACTTAGTTTTAACCAATTCACCTAGACATTCTTAAAGAAGCCTTCTCCAAATTAAGAACTTCTAAATCTGACAAATTCACGACCAACGTCCGTGAAACCTAACCGACCATGTTGCTCTTGAAATTGTAACAAATTAATGATACACGGGCACTGTATAAATGCCTGAAATATTCAGATATAACACACAACACTTGATAAGTATAGATATGTGTCCAACATTTCTAATTGGATAACACACCTGACAAACATATTCAATAATTCAAGTTTATTATGAAATTGTACACAAAACTCTATTCTTATGTTACATTATTGCTTCAAGACAAGTGAAGTGTTTATATTGAACACAATATTATAAATTTTAAAAAAAAAATCACTCTAGAAAATAAAGGAAATTTTTTAAGTGATACGAGTATTTAGTTGTGTCCCCAAATTTAGGAATTTGATAAATCCACCAGACATTTACCTGCACTCAACACTACTACGGTACTACCAAAGTCCATGTAACATAGCCCAAAACATAATTCCAACTTTCTTACATCTTCATTCCATAGCAATATATATATATATGAAATAAGAAACATGTATGGTTTATCACTTTTACTACAAATTAACTTTTCGTACACAGTGCCAACCAAAAAACAAGAAGTTTCACTAATTAAATTATACAAAGAAAAGTATTACGCTACCGTAAAAGATACAGAAAGAGGAGAGATATACAGACCAGCAATCACCAAGCATACCCAAAACTGCACCTAGCTGAGAACACAACTCTGATGTGTTCCCCATTCTTTCTAACTGTTCTCGAATGTCTTCTGCGCATAGACCAAGTCTTGATTTGGCACTTTCTATATTATGTGCACGAAATGCCTACATATGAAATGGGCCAACAAATAAGTGAACATGATGGAGAATGAATATGCAATTCAACAACTAGTTGGATGTACCAAACAGAAAAAGTAATACCAAGATTGGTTCAGCTCAACAAAGAAAACAAGTGCATTTGAAAAACGCCAGCACCAAACACTGGAAAAGCAATCGACAAACTTACCCTCATAGCCTGCTGGACCAGGAAAGCACCTCTCTCCAGAGACACATCCTCATATATCACTTTTTTCTTCTCACCTTCTACATTCTCTTGGTCTGTATTAACTTGAGACCTCTTGATCCTCGCATGACCGTCAATGAATCGATCAACTACATCTTGAAGATTTGTATCAGCTTCAATCTTCTCAATGTCAGCACCACATAATGGACAATCCTTAAAGCGTGATACACATGCCCTGATATTCCAAAAAGAAGTGAACAACATGCAGTATCAGGATAAGTGACAGATAAGAAGTACATTCTTAGCATATATATGAAAAAACAAAATTAAATATCAGGTTAGTCATTATCTTCTTACTTGCAATATACATGGGAACAAGGTACACATTTGCTGCTTTCAAAGAGAAGCGCTCGGCAGATCATGCAGCTAAAGGGTCCTAGCTTAAATGTTTGTGAATCATACCCAAAGGGACATTTTGGAGAAATGCTGGCAGATTCTGCAGACTCTGGTTTAGCCTTGCCTTCATGCCCAGCTGGACATTTTGGAGAAATGCTGGCAGATTCTGCAGACTCTGGTTTAGCCTTGCCTTCATGCCCAGCTGGGTGTTTATTTTGGCTTTCAGCAGATTTTTTTTGAGAGGAATCATCAGGTCGAGCAGCTTTGACAAAAGGGCAAACAGGTGTCATCTTGATCAACACCCTATGTCAAAAACACGAAAAAACAACTTCTATAAATTTTGTTCAGGAAAGAGAAAAAATAAAGGAAACGAAGAAACATTCTTGAAGGAAAATCCTCAATAAATTTATTAAAGAGTTGGAAAGACATGTCCCTAAAGGACAAGGAGACCTTCCTAAAAGAGAGAGAGAGAGAGAGGAAGAAGAAGAAGATGTGTGTGTGTACCGGGAGGGGAGAGGAAAAAGGAGGGGGGGGGGGGGGGGGGGGGGTGTGTTTGGAGAGAAGAAAAAGAAGAGAAAACAGTAGATGGAAAAAAAAAAAAAAATGATACAACTCCTTCCCCAACAAAACAAGATAAAACCCCTCAACAAGAGTAAGGAAACACCTTTCAAACTCTCCAAATTATCCATTTAACTAGGAAAGAGCCTAATCATCCTCTTAAAAATATATCACTATATCTCAACCTCCAAGAAGCCAAAAAATAAATAATCTCATGCATTTGGGAAGCATATCACCAATATCCGACTGAACATTCTCTAGCCCATCCAAACAACCAAACACTTCTGAAATCCCAAATTCGAGCCTTCTCCTTCCAGAAGAGCAAACACTTCAGCTTTAATAGCATATCCCTTTCCCATTGAGTTCAAAATAAGCACAAAACAGTGGTGTTTCCCCAATGTTTTTAAAACCCAGGCTAACAAGAGCAAATTCATACTCGGATTCAATAGCCATTAACACTAATTGTCAAATTTTGGAGTAATGATTACAAATAGATGAACATAAAAAACAATCATAATATTATCTGCAGCATTGTCCCATGAGAAGTGAATCCCATGATTAACAATTCATCATACCATTAACAAGTTGGAAATTGAAGATTTTTGTATCATGTGGTAGCAATAGTGTAACATCTTTGAAACGGTCCAAGGAAAACAAACTTGTTAATCAGAATAACAGTTTATTTTATTTTAATTTTTCCTTTTTTCTCCAACAAGAAACATCACTACAGGGAGAAGAAAGTACAAAAAGAAAGAATTCTTTAAAAAACAAATACAATTAGGATCTAAAGAAAATAGTGTAACCACAACTATTTGGCAGTATTCTTGCCAGGCCCTAAGGCACCAGTACATATCAATATCTATCACACAATTAAAAGTTCGAACATTTAAAATACTTGCATTCATGAAGTATTTGACAGGAACGGAAAATATGAAACCACCTTTCTTCAATTCTTGCGCATTTGGTTGTTGCAAAGACATGTAAGCACAATCCAATATCGGTTTTCTTGAAACACACGCACATCTATATACACATTCCTTAAATCATTTCTTACAATATTTCAATACAATGTGATCTCTAGAAAAAACTAAACTATATTCTTCTTCTTTTTTAAGAAAAAAAAATTCCTGTAAATAAAATTGCTGTAGAAAGGCAAACTATTTCTTTCTTCTTCATTTTTTTTTTTTTTTTCATTGGCAAGAAACTCACACAGCCATTTGTCCCCACGGGACTTGAACCCTCACCATCCCCTTTGGGAGGTAGAGGAGATATACCACTAGCCACTAGGCTACACAGCCTTAGGGTCAGAAAGGCGAACTTATTGGCTCTTTCCTTTCTTTTACTTGAAATCAAATTATATATATATATATATATATATTTGAAGAAGCAGTTTCTAGCATGAAATCCTGTGAACAAAATGAAGCCCATAATTAGAAATTAAAAACAGTTCTTCTTGTTGCCCTTTTCCCCTATCTCGTAAGACCAAGCATAGAGATCTAGTAATCCAAAACCAAATAAAACAAAGATTTGTCAGAATGTATAAGTGGTCATAGCAGAACACAAACATAGTGTAATTTCAAGGAAAAGAGGAGTAGTATTAATTACTACTAAGTCTGATCAAGATTAAGTTAATTCCGGACATTGCGGTTCGAAGAATTCGAAATCTAGACTAATAAAGAATTGTAACTTATACATAAATAGTGAATAATGAAAATTTCAAAATATAATATAAGCACAAATACAGGACTTACTCGGAAAATACAAATAGACAACAATTTCAACCGGTTTATAATCCAATTAGCACAAGAAGCATACAAGAAGACAGAAAAACACGAGAACATACCGATTAGATAAGATGGCTGAGGCAGAAAAGCTCTGCAATTTCTTGAAACTTTTCTATGAGAACTTCAATGGTGAGTTGTATCCCAGCCCCTAGAGAAAGAGTGTATAGAGAGAGAATGTTGATAAGAAAGAAATTCTTCAAGGTTTTGATTGAGAGCTTCAACGGTGAACCGGATCGAAGGGAGATAGAGAAGGGGGAAGAGAGAGAAATTATATAGATATATATCTATATGTATATGTATGTAATTTCGTCTTGAAACGAGGAATAAGAATGCGTGAGACATATCCGTAGTTTATGTGAGCGTGTGAATGCTATCTTCTAACGCGTGCGTGGAGCTCCTATAAACGCAACGCTACGCCAAGCCACGGTTATGCGCGTGCACCACTCACCTCTCGAACTCGAAGAAGTCACAGTAATAATACAGGGCTTCCAATTTTTAATTAAAATACAGTAATAATTTTTATAATTAAAAATAATAATACAGTAATAATAAATAAATAAAATTTCACTTAAAGGACCATAGTACTTCCAGTTAAATTTGTAAGCACTGTATATTTTAAAGTAGGAACAAATGGATGTTTCAATTTCTTGTGGATATTTATATAAATATATGTGACAGAAAAGAACTATATATATATATATATATATATATATATTTATTTATTTTTTTCTTTTTTAGTGCATGTGTATCGACCTCATAACAAATATAACATTCAAGTTAGGAGTACGGTTCAAAAACGAGACATTAAAGATTTACCTCCCGAATTCCTACCAACGCAATTATGCTCCTGGGGGCGACAATATAATACTTTACAACACTTCAGCTGATTAATTATAATTTTATATTTTTACAATAAGATACGTTAATTAATAAAAAGATCAATTACAATTGCCATGTTATCCAAATGGTTGGGTTATTCTTGGAACATGTATTTGAACTTTGCACCTCCTCTAACCAACCACTGAAAATTTTTACTTTAAAAATAATACGGAGTAATAAGTAAATAATTCAACCTACATGACTATTTAATTATTTATGAATCAGTAAATCGTGGATCATATGCAATGGGCTGGGAATTGGTTTGTGTCCCTTCTACATTGAACCCAACTTTAGCCTGGATTGGCCCGTCGAATTGCGCGGACACCAATTAAGTCGTGTCCAGTTCAATTCAGATTAGGGTTTCATATACGGTACTTTACAGCTGTGTTTTATTTTTTTCGGAAATTACTTTACAGGTGTGTTATTATGTCAGATATATATATATGTGCTTGCTCTCGTACTCTATCCATAGTACATGAATCAATTATATTGACAATCATACCCAAATGTTTCTCTTTTTGACTGAAAGAAGAAAAAAAGAAAAAACACAAAATTGAGGAAGTCTTCAATCATGTACTTAAAATTTATTTGCAGTCACACATGAAATTTTTTCTGGTTACAAACTAGAACTTGTTGATTACATAGACATAGAGTTGATCTCCAACAAAACAGACTCAACCAAATAGATCGATCCATGTATATTATTGATCATTCAAATACATATGCAAAACTAGAACTGAACTTGATGCATGTTACCAATGGATCTGTGATGACTTGGGGACAGTCACTCACGCCAAAGAAGTGAGATTGAAAGAAGACATCATTTGTGCAAACTGGTCAGCCATTTGCATCTGAAGCTGAAGCTTATACAATTCAACCACCGCGTCTTCCGTCAATTCAACCTCCGGCTGACCTTCACAACCATTCTGAGGTACTGCCTCCGAATCAGAGGCGGCGTCGTCCGGATACAATCCCAGTTTGACCTCCTTGGTGGCACAATAAGTATGCACAAGAAAAAGATCACATTTTGAACAATCATAGGCCCAGTGCTTAGACTCCAACAATTTGTTACATATTTTACAAATACAGTTAGGCGTGTTTTGGTCCACCTTGTCAGCTGGGTTGGTACAGATGAGGCCAAGTTGATGTGGATGAGAGTTATGGGTTACCTTTGGAGGCAAGAAAGCACAGTGGACATGGAGATCGATCTCACAAAGCGCGCAACAATAGGAGAAGGCATTGCCAGGTGCACCACAAGCGTTGCACAAGAAGGTAGCACTGCAGTAAGTTGGGGAGGGGAGGAGGATGAGAGGGTGCAGTGGATGGGATGGGTGCTTGACGTAGCGATTTGCATTTCCACAATGCTGGTGGAGGAAGAAATTGCAGGGCCAGCAAGCGTAAACGGAGTCATGACAGTAGGATTCGCAGCCGGAGCAACGAAGTTGTTGACCCTGCTGCACTTGATACATCATCAAGCTATGCTGGTGGCTGAAATGCTTGTACTCCATCTCTCTTTCTCTCTCTCCTTAATTTTCCCTCAAGCTCTGATTCAGAGACTTGAACTAACATTGTTACATATAGCCAATTCCAATATTATGGACTAAGTCAAGCTATCAATAATTTTGACTAACAAGAGTTGTGCATATTCCTCGTTTCTTAGTGGCCATTGTAAAATAAAATAAATGTCAAGTTGTCGATGCTTGCGGGAGTTGGGTGTACATGATCATCTAATTCCTATTTAATACAAACACACACAAATTCATACAAGCGGATTGAAAATTCAAATGCAGAAAAAAAAGCCATTGACTTGGAAAAAGTTGGCCATAATAAAGTCAACTCCCATTATATATTTAGACAATTAGATGGCATTGGATATATATAAATTGACTTTAATTTGGACTTTTTTTTTTTTTTTGCAACTTTAATTTGGATATTGACTTCACTAGAAAAGGGCTAACCTAAAGGCTACAGACCCTATTGTACGTTTGTCTTATGATTTGCAGTTTGAATCAGTATCAGAGGGTGTGGTGGGCGAGGAATAGACATGGAACTTGGGATATATATATATATATATATATATATGTACATATATCAGATTTTAATTTCATTGGGGTTTGGGGACTGTAAAGTTTATACTACAGATAATACCTTCCTTATTTCTTCTTTTCCTTTGTTTTTTTTTCGGTCACAACCTTCATGGAGTGACCCTATTGTACGTTTGCCTTATGATTTGCAGTATGATCGAAAATGCAATGTACCATGCATCGTGAGTATATATAGATCCGTCTGATGTTAGTGATTAGTGAGTGATGTGCGGGACAGATTTTGTGATTACAGGGATATCCTGCTGCTGCTGTATCTTTCATACTTAAGCGATGTGTCTTATCATTACCCAATTTTCTGTCAGTTGCCTTGGCTTCACACATGTTTTTCTTTTCAATTATGTACATATATTGTCTGTCTTTTATATACTTTATTTTAGTTTCTTTTTCTTTCGTAATTTTGAGTTATGCTTAAATTAAAATTTAAACTCAACTCGATTCAACTGGACTCGATCTAAATTCACCACTTGTGATTGTCATGTCTAAGTTTAAAGGATTTGATTTCCTAAGTCCTTACAAACTCTCTCTCATCTTACAAAATATAGAATGTTGAGGTTCATATCCTCATAGGTCAGTTCAAATTCTGTGTTTACCAACTCGAATTTTGGCATAATTTTGGTGAAACTTAATTTTGTGACAAAGGATTGCAAATTCTGTGAGTTGATTACTTTTTAAAAAAACATATCGATCAGCTGGTATTTAAAATCTTTTTTATTTTATTAGTAAATATTCTTGTAAAGATTGTTATGTCTAGCAGTTATGGGCGTTAACAGGCAAAAAGCTAGGCAGATGATATATGCAATAATACAGAAATATATCATATATAGTTCTAGTTATGATATATTCTTCCAATTCATAATATTCATTGACTTCAATTAATTTTTTTTGTTTTGATAGAATTGCCAAATTCGATGAAGTTTAGATTCAACTGTGACCTCAGATTTTGAATTGGGATGAAGTTTGGTGAGAAAGATTTGGCATAAATACAAAGTTTGGTCAAAATTCAAGTAATAATTAAGATTAATATTCAGATCGATCAAGGGAAATTCATTGTACATGGAAAATTAATTAAAAAATCTCTAGCTACAGCGTCCCCATTAAGTAAACATTCTAATAAGTAATAATAATCCATAAAATTCGAATTCATAATGGACCAAGGAGCAAATTAACAAATTTTTCCAAAGAAAAATATAAGGAACAAATTAACATGAGTAGCTAGTATGGTATAAATTGATTGTTCTATCGTGATTGACATAACGTTTCAATGTCCTTATAAGCAACAAAGAATATTAATATAATTAATTAACCATGTATTTCTTAGGATCAATTCTTGAATTTCACAAGATAATGAGATTTAATTTTCTTTTTCTTGTCATTTTCTCATGGTGAAGGGGCGCACTCAACTCTAGACATCCCAGTTTGTCCCTCAAACCTCATCATTATTAATGATGCACTTGCATGGAATTAACATGCATTTTCTTACCCAAAAAACAAATATATATATATATATATATTAACATGCATTTTAATGAACAAAATGACCAGTTTAGTAACTTTAGTTTTCAAATCATGCCTGAAAATAGTTAATTGAGCAAGTGACATGGCTCAAAATGAAAAGATTATGTCAGCCCACGGCGTTGTTATTTAAGGACTCATTTTGTATCTTTGAGAGAAATTGTTCAATAATCTTAGACTTTATGTCACTTGTTAGTCCAGTCCAAGTTCGATGGAGCTAGAAAATAGCTCCCTCAATCTAGACAGATTTATTTCAGCAACTTACCGGCTGCCAATGCCGATTCTTACGCCCTTGGATAGAGAGGAAGGGCGGGGCAATTATTATTATTATTATTATTATTATTATTATTATTATTTTAATGTTATCAAATCGCAGTATATAACTGTAGATTTGAAATAACTACATATACTTTTCCTATGAATTTGTAAAGTTAACATATATCATGGTTTGGTGCATGAACTGTTAACTGTTCTAATTTATTTTCTTTTTGTTATTTTAACATTTTATTCATTTCATGAACAATTTGTATTAATTGCATGTGAACAGCTCTAGTTCGATTCATTTTCTTTCCTTAGTCAAAACACAAAAGGAATGCAAATCTAGGGTCTGGTGATCGAAGTAGTGGCTTCCCAGAAAATATAAAGAGATCTAACAATGTGACGATATATACAAAAAATATGACATACATGAACAAAATACTGTATCAGACTTAAATTTAAGTACTCTATGTTACTCTCTTAGCAATAAGTAAAATGATTTGCTCCACGATTTGGACCCCATACAAGGAAGGCACAAGAAATGTGTGTGAAACCGAATCGGAGGGCGCATAAACCCATCACTAGCTCATTAAAACAGTATTAAGCACAAAATATAGAGCAAAAAGTCAAAATTAAACAAAACAAATTGAAAAATAAGTACAATATTCATTAAGCATATGTTCTTCACTCAGAATCATATATATATATATATATATATATAAAGCACGCATGACAGTATATAGTTGCACCGCACCAGGTGTAACACAACATCAAACATTGATTAATGTTGCATGCCTTCATTCAAGTACATGAAATAACCATTCATTTGTCTTCATAGGCGGTTGTTTTTGTTGTTATCAGCCACTACAACCACATTGTTTGTTTGCCCCAGTAAACTACTCATGGATCTAGCTTTCACCATACCAAGCTTCATCTTCTTCTTCTTATTTGTCATCATCAATGGCTTCTTCTCATTTCCATCGTCATCGTCATCGTCTTCGTCGTCCTCCTCATCATCATCATTAATGTATTCCATCACGGATGATATCGACTGGACCTTCTTTGGCACAACAAAATCAGTAGTCTTGGGCATGGCACGGCTTCGAACACTAGTGGTACCATTAATGCTTCGAAGTCTTCCTTTACCCAAGTGATGTTCACACAGAGAGTACCCTACGAGGGTTTGTTGGCAACACCTCCATCCCCTCCCATTAACACGACTGCACCGAGAACCTTCCATTATAACACTACCTCTCTTACTCTTTTTGGCACTACTAGTCTTATTATTATTAATGCCCTCTTTGGCTTCTTTATAACCTTCATATTCATCATCGCTACCATTTTGTAATTGCACACATTTCTTGTTGGTCTTCGACTTCATTTTCGCCTTCATCTTCTTTTCTTTCTCCGGTATGGTGATCTCTTCGCTTCCTCTTCTCTCGAAGCTTCCTCTTCTCTTCTTCAATGGAACAACTTTATCTCCTTCATACCACCTCCCAACTTCTATTTTAATTATATATATATATATAGTGCAATTGTACACAACCAAAAACACAATTACACTTGTATTCAAGACTAGCAAGCAAATGAGAATGAGATAGATTCTTGAACAGTTATATACATATAGATAGATAGATATAGCAAATAATAATAATGTTTACCTTGATGAGAAGAATTCGCAGATGGTGGCAGAATCTGAGTACCTACTTCTGCACCTAAGATGCTTTCTTTCCTAAAAATAAGCAAGACCCAGAAGATCCACAACCACATGGTATACCATCAGATTTATATATACTCCCAAAATAAAAATAAAAACAGTGCAATATATATACAAATTGATGTATTGTAGCTGGGGACCAGCGTCCCAGGCTAATGTGCACCGGATAGGTATTTTTAGTTCAAGAGAGAAAAAAGCACTATATATATATATGTGTGTGTGTGTGTGTATGTGTGTGTGTGTGTATCAGATGAGATGGGATGGGAAGGTATGGTAGCTAGTTAGCCAAAGCTGATATAAAAACACCATAAACAGTATTTTCCACTTCAAGTGTGTATATATATATATTTATATATATATTGTGGCCGGGTTAAATCAAGTTATGGCCTATTGGTGTGTGTGTCTCTCTCTCTTCAACTTTTTACTACAAGAATTCATGAAAGAAGAGAACATCATTCAGTAACTTTTCTTTTTTATTCTTACCTGGTATCATTAGTACTTTTCTCTTCCTCTCCCCATGTCTCTTGTTTACTAACCTCTTCGCTACCTTCCATGTCCACCTGCAAAATCAAAGCAAACATAAGATCTAAATACATCATCTATAGTTGTATATATCTAATGCAATCCTTGTGGGTGCAGATTTAGTATGGGGAATTAGTTACATATGTAAGGCTTGTTTGGGTAACATTGAAATATTGTTGTGCACTTGTGTGTCCACACACACACAAGCTAGCAAAAGAATAATACCAAACCAAACCAAAACAAACCAAACGCACCTGTTGCTTCACCTCCTGGTAGGAAGGCCATCTGGACCATCCACTTCCGATCATCAGCCGTGACGGTGGGAGAGGCTGATTAGGAGGATCGGACGGCTGAGAATTAATGTTACCTTGTTGTACACAAAGATTTCCATCTGGGTATGCAGTTTGTACGCTACCTTGTGTGTGTTGTTGCACCACCGGTGACGGCCGGTTGAGTTGGGGATCTGTGAGAGACAATGAACAGAAAGAAGAGGATGGAAAACGTTTCCTGATCCTCATCGCCGAAAGATAAAAAGAGATTGATAGATGCAAAAAACGAGAGAGAGGGAGAGAGAAATTTGATGGTAAGGGCTTAGACCCAGTGCAGATAGATAGGAAGATATGATCTATCAGGTCTGATTTTTTTTTTTTTTTTGTAGAGAGAGAGAGAGAGAGTGTGCAAACCTCCTAGATACTGCAACCCCCAAGAAATTTTTTTTGCTTTAACTCTCTCTGTCTCTCTCTATCTTGTGTTTCTCTCTCTAACTTTTATTTGTTGCACCACACAACACAGAATAAGGAAGAATAGATTATGGGTACGTTGGCACGTGTGGAGGCTTGTGTACAGTCATACAGAAAGTGTGGCACGTGTGAGGTGGAACCGTCTGAGGTGGTGACCGGCAACCGGAATCGTGGAGGAAGACAAAGGTACGGACGACATGACAGGGTGGAGGGGAGAGAGTATTAGTTTTTCTTTTCTTTTCTTTTTTATTTTTTATTTTTTCAAAAAATATAAAAATTTGCTAGTAACGTTTTTATTTTCTCCGTATTAAAAAAATAATAATAATAATTTGCTAGTAACGTTTTCATTTTCTCCGTATCAAACCAATAAACAAAGTATAAAATTCACGTTGGTTTTACAGGGATTTGAATTCCAACCTTCCGCTTTAAGTAGTTAAAAGAAATATTATTAAGGTAAGGTACACAGATTTTGGTGTAAATAATTATTCAATGGAAAATATTGAAATGACTTATTAAAAATAAAAGGCATTGCCGTACATCTATAAAAATTTCATAAGAAATCAAAATTTTCTTTTTAATCAAACAAAGCCTCAGGATTTGTTTTGTTAAATAGAAACTATAATGAGAATTGAAAGTAAAAGAAAGTGAAATTACTGAAAGAAAAGTAATATTTTCAATATGCATTTGAATAGTACGAATTTTTTTAAGAAAAAAAAAAAAAATCATTGTTTTCAATTTATATATACTTTTTTTAAAATTAAAATTTTTCTATGTCTTTTGTAGGAAAATTTTTATTTAAAAGTTAAGTTGGTTTTGAAAAATTACTTTTTTCTCAATTTTTTTTTGTTTATATTTTTTCCAACTATCCAAATTTCTAAAGTATTAAAAAATTCTTAGCTTCCTTTTATTTCTTAATATTTTCATATAATCAAAAGGAGCCTTAATTATGATTTTTATTTTTACATAAATAGCTTTCTTATGAATTTTAGGCATATAATTTTTTTTTTTTTTTTTTGATATCCAGTGTGTCTGAGGTTTTGCACCAACTAATCTACAGACCCGCCCTCATATGGATCGGATAAAGTTGGGACTATGTCCAAACATGCTTAAAAAAATCAATCATGAAAATTGATGTTCATGAGGCACAGACCCAAATCACTTCCAAGTAAGCCAACTCTAGAGTTATTTTTAAACATATAATTACTTAATATTACTCAATATAGAATTAATAATAAGTTGTTGGAAGATATCTCATTGACCAATAAGAAAATGATATATCACTAAAATTATAACAAATACATATTTTTATAATATTTGATATTCGTGTTAAAGATGGCGGATTTTATAATAAAGAAAATAATTCTTGCACCGAATAGTTATAATGAATTACAAGACCTATTTTTTTTATTTATCAATTATACAACAAATAAAAGAGTAATGCATTCATTTAGTTGTATTTAATATAAATAAATAATTAAAAATACTCATAATAAATCTCATATATCCAATTTGTCTTTATAAAAACTTAAATAGTAAAGATAAACAATTAATTTAAAATAGTTCTTGATGGTATGGTATTACTCTAGAATTGAAGCTAATAAAAAATGATGGGAGGGGTGGGTAATTTTATCGTTTATGCATTTATAAAAAAAGGTGGGTACCACTTTGAGCAACGACCCAGATGCTCTCCTCATTACTGTAATAAATAAGGAGAAAGAAAGATAATGTGCAAGCATACGTAACATGTGTTTCTTAGTACCGCTTATGTGTCTTTTGAGATAACCATCAACAACGTTTCACCCTCTCCACGTTTCAAAAAGATGACATTGACACTTCCCAAAAATATTCCCAACTATTCCATTTGTTTTCCAACTCATTCTTTATTAATAAGATGTGAATGGAATGAACTGTAAAAATTTACTTTTTCATATATAATTATAAATTCCATATATGTATGTGTGTATCTATATATATATATATATATATATATATATTTATTTATTTATTTATTTATTGAGCAATGCAAGTCGCTACAACTAACATGTATATTTATTTATTTAAAAAATAAATAATTAAATACTAATTAATTTTCATAAAAATAAGTGTCCTTCAACTTTCATGAAAATATTAATAGCGCCATCAATTTTAGTGTCTAACACTAGCATCTTATCTTTAATCAATTCAATCTTTTGTACAATAAATACTCATACTTTTTCTTCTAGGATTATGTCCAACTAATTTTAATATATTTTTATTAGTGCTATCAACAAACAAATAAAAGAGTTATATTTTAATTTTTTTAATTAGTAATTGGAATATAATAATGCATAATATTTTGACTTTATTAATATTTTAGCTTTATTGTAAGGAATGAATGAAAATATTATTGAAAATTGTTTTAAAGATATTATAGTGCATTACTGAATTACTCTCTCCTTTTAATTGTCTTGTGATGCGCGCTTTCACCCATTAATGGTTATATTAAATATATAGATTAATATTTTTTTATTAAACATTTTTATTTACATAAATAAAATATGTAATAGAAAGAATGTTATTTGTTGATAACACATTAGTTCATTAATGATCATAAAATGATAATATATATATATATATATATATATTTAATGTTCATATGTAACATGAACAATCAACTTATGATCAAAGGGTGTAGTAACTACTAACATTAGTAGTATCAATTTCAAAGCATTATTTCGGGATAGTGTCTTCAAAATTGACCGCGTTATTAGTCATTTGATGAAACTAAAATGACAATTATTTTAAGTTATTAATAAGTGTTTAAATGTTTGATGGCCTTATTAGTAAATTTATAAAGTAAGAGGACACTTATTTTTATGGAAATTGACAAGCATTTGACATGAATGAGCAATAATACGTTCTTCGAATTTTTTAAGATTAAGATATTATGCAGCAAATTCGGCCAAGAAACACATTAAGAAATAAGCATATATATCATAAACAGATAATACACGAAATTTAGCCAAGAAACACGATACAGAAATAAGCATATTGTAAACAAAGATAATACCCGGTGAAAATTCGATAAAAGTTTTTTTCCGATAGATAAGTAGCAACCTCAAACACAAGAAGTATTTTTATCAAGGCTTGAACTCTAGACCTCCCTTGAGTAAGAGCAGGTGATGCTTGGCCACTTGGGACTTTGGTCAAATGAAAGTTTTTACTATGTAAAAAAAACACAAGATTGCAAGTTTCAGTCACAAACCCTAACTCTTGCTCTTATTCTATTTTTTGCGATTTTCACTGTCTCTCAATATTTCACCCAAAATTCTAAACACCCGTATTTATCTGGTTACAAAATAGTACTAATTAGGCTTCCTGCAAAAAAAAAAAAAAAAAAAAAAAAAAAAAAAAAAAAGCCAAAATTTTCTTCATACAAAACTCAATCACCGCGTCGTGAACAAGTCACGACACAACTCGAAACTAAATTCGGGCCACAGCATCAAATATATATAAAATTAGGTATGAACTAGGTAGGTCATTCAATGGCATATAGGAAAATTATTAATCAAACGTTTTGTTATATAAAATAATAAGGTTAAATTAAAAATTCTCGAGCTTTTGTGAGTTTAAAATAAATTAAAAAATTGATATGTAAACTCAATTTAATCTCAAAGATAAAAATAAAAGATAGAAGGTTCAAATTGAAAATTCTCAAAAACTTAGAGTATACTTAGTTTATAATTCTGGAAACAGTTCTCAAGACTTCATAAAACAGAAAATTGTTCTTCGAAAACAATATTTTATAGTACTTTGAAAACATACATTTTCATAACGGAGTTTGTAGAAGACAATTTTTAAAAATTGAACCAAACAGAGTTTTTGTATAGTTTTCTATTTTCAGTTATCTGATAACGGACACTATTTCCAGAGTGTAACTCTATAAACAGTTATCAAGAATTTAGAGAATAGAAAATTATTTTTAGAAAATTATAAAAGATAGTTTTCTAAAAATAAGATATTTTTATTACTGAATTTTTAAAAATTTAATCAAATAGAATTTTTTGTATAGTTAATTACAAATCAAACAGCCTTATTGTTTATTCGAATATATATCCCACCAAAAGGCAAAAGAAAAAAAAAAAAAAAAAAAAAAGAAAAGAAAAGAGAAGGGCAAAAAGTTTCAAAAGGGATAAGTCTTGGAACAATTCACTCAACCAGGTGCTTGCACCAATTAGATGCATTGAGGTGGGGACATTATTGATAAATCCAACGGATGCAAAGAATTGGGCTGGGCTGAGTATTTGGAAAAACTTACCTCGGTTTGGGGGATCTCTGGCCGTACTCATGGGCCCACACGGACGGACTAAGACTAGGTTGACGCACGGGAATCTTAAAAGAGTCTATGTTTGTGGAGCATTACCTCATGACGTGGCAAGCTTCTGTAGCATCACTTTTACATGATTAATTGCACACCACATATCTATAATTCTATATGTCAGGCTTATCAGCCTATCAGAGTGATGAAATACGCCAAACTTGCATACAAATCCGATTCCGGTTGGAGTTTGAGTGTCAGTAAAAATAAGTAAAATAAGTGCGTCTATTATAATGTTGAAATCCATCAAATATGTATACTATACAAAATTACCTTCTCAAAATAAGTAGGGAGTTTGAATCTTTGTAAAAGTAGGCTTGTAAGTTTGCTTTTGTTTACGAGAGCGTGAATTTTATAATATCATGATTTAACTGTACCATTTCTTGAGAAAAAAAAATGAAACTGTAAAACAACATTGAATTATACTTGTAAAGCAATCCTAAACACAGTTCGGCTTAATCAACTGTACCATTTATCGAGAAAAAAAAAAATGAAACTGTAAAAACAACATTGATTTATACTTGTAAAGCAATCCTAAACACAGTTCGGCTTAACTGGTATTGTGTCCAAAAACCAGGGAAAAAAATAGGTATGTACTCCTAATGATTGAAATAAGACAACGACAAAATATTAAAGCAATTTGAATCACAACGAACCTGATCCTGTTGAACTACACTGAAAACGTATTTAA